AGAGTGTTTGGAGGGTTTGGAGGGTTTTGGAACGTTTGGAGGGTTTTGGAGCGTTTGGAGTGTTTGCGGGCTGGCAAACGGCAGCTTTGAAAGCCAATAGATGGCCTTGGCCCTGGGGTGCCTGATTGAGAAGTGGCCTTGGCCCTGGGGTGCCTGATGGGGAAGGTGTTTGGAGGGTTTGGAGGGTTTTGGTTTGGAAGGTTTTGGAGGGTTTGGAAGGTTTTGGAGGGTTTGGAGGGTTTGCAGGGTTTTGGAGGGTGTTTGGAGGGTTTGGAGGATTTTGGAGCGTTTGGAGGGTTTGGAGTGTTTGCGGGCTAGCTTTGCAAGCCCATAGAAAGCCCTTGCTGTGGCCTTGGCCCTGGGGTGCCTGTTCGGGAAGTGGCCTTGGCCCTGGGGTGCCTGCTGGGGACGGTGTTTGGAGGGTTTGGAAGGTTTTGGAGGGTTTGGAGGGTTTGGAAGGTTTTGGCAGTTTGGAGCGTTTGCAGGCGGGCAAACGGCAGCTTTGAAAGCCTATAGAAAGCCATTGCTGTGGCCTTGGCCGTGGGGTGCCTGTTGGGGAAGTGGCCTTGGCCCTGGGGTGCCTGCTGGACGAGGTGTTTGGAGGGTTTGGACGGTTTTGGAGAGCGCCCGGAGGGTTTGGAGGGGTTTCGAGGGTTTTGGAGGGTGTTTGGAGTGTTTAGAGGGTTTTGGAGCGTTTGGAGGGTTTTGGAGCATTTGGAGTGTTTGCGGGCTGGCAAACGGCTTTGAAAGCCAATAGAAAGCCATTGCTGTGGCCTTGGCCCTGGGGTGCCTGATTGAGAAGTGGCCTTGGCCCTGGGGTGCCTGTTGGGGAAGGTGTTTGGAGGGTTTGGAGGGTTTTGGAGGGTTTGGAGGGTTTTGAAATGTTTTGAAGGGGGTTGAGGGTTTGGAAGGTTTTGGAGGGTTTGGAGGGTTTTGGATGGTGTTTGGAGGGTTTGGAGGATTTTGGAGCGTTTGGAGGGTTTTGGAGCGTTTGGAGTGTTTGCGGGCTGGCAAACGGCAGCTTTGAAAGCCCATAGAAAGCCATTGCTGTGGCCTTGGCCCTGGGGTGCCTGTTCGGGAAGTGGCCTTGGCCCTGGGGTGCCTGCTGTGGACGGTGTTTGGAGGGTTTGGAAGGTTTTGGAGGGTTTGGAGGGTTTGGAAAGTTTTGGCAGTTTGGAGCGTTTGCAGGCGGGCAAACGGCAGCTTTGAAAGCTTATAGCAAGCCATTGCTGTGGCCTTGGCCCTGGGGTGCCTGTTGGGGAAGTGGCGTTGGCCCTGGGGTGCCTGCTGGACAACGTGTTTGGAGGGTTTGGAAGGTTTTGGAGGGTTTGGAGGGTTTGGAGGGTTTTGGAGGGTTTGGACAGTCTGGAGGGTTTTGGAGGGTGGTAGGGTTTTGGAGCGTTTGGAGGGTTTGCGGGCTGGCAAACGGCAGCTTTGAAAGCCAATAGAAAGCCATTGCTGTGGCCTTGGCCCTGGGGTGCCTGATTGAGACGTGGCCTTGGCCCTGGGGTGCCTGTTGGGGAAGGTGTTTGGAGGGTTTGGAGGGTTTTGGAAGGTTTGGAGGGTTTTGAAGGGGGTTGAGGGTTTGGAAGGTTTTGGAGGGTTTGGAGGGTTTTGGAGGGTGTTTGGAGGGTTTGGAGGATTTTGGAGCGTTTGGATGGTTTTGGAGGGTTTGGAGTGTTTGCGGGCTGGCAAACGGCAGCTTTGAAAGCCCATAGAAAGCTGCTGTGGCCTTGGCCCTGGGGTGCCTGTTCGGGAAGTGGCCTTGGCCCTGGGGTGCCTGCTGGGGACGGTGTTTGGAGGGTTTGGAAGGTTTTGGAGGGTTTGGAAGGTTTTGGCAGTTTGGAGCGTTTGCAGGCGGGCAAACGGCAGCTTTGAAAGCCTATAGAAAGCCATTGCTGTGGCCTTGGCCCTGGGGTGCCTGTTGGGGAAGTGGCCTTGGCCCTGGGGTGCCTGCTGGACAAGGTGTTTGGAGGGTTTGGACGGTTTTGGAGAGCGCCCGGAGGGTTTGGAGGGTTTCGGAGGGTTTGGAGGGTTTTGGAGGGTGTTTGGAGTGTTTGGAGGGTTTTGGAGCGTTTGGAGGGTTTTGGAGCGTTTGGAGTGTTTGCGGGCTGGCAAACGGCAGCTTTGAAAGCCAATAGAAAGCCATTGCTCTGGCCTTGGCCCTGGGGTGCCTGATTGAGAAGTGGCCTTGGCCCTGGGGTGCCTGTTGGGGAAGGTGTTTGGAGGGTTTGGAGGGTTTTGGAGGGCTTGGAGGGTTTTGAAGGGAGTTGAGGGTTTGGAAGGTTTTGGAGGGTTTGGAGGGTTTTGGAGCGTTTTTGCAGGGTTTGGAGGATTTTGGAGCGTTTGGAGGTTTGCGGGCTGGCAAACGGCAGCTCTGAAAGCCCATAGAAAGCCATTGCTGTGGCCTTGGCCCTGGGGTGCCTGTTCGGGAAGTGGCCTTGGCCCTGGGGTGCCTGCTGGGACGGTGTTTTGAGGGTTTGGAAGGTTTTGGAGGGTTTGGAGGGTTTGGAAAGTTTTGGCAGTTTGGAGCGTTTGCAGGCGGGCAAACGGCAGCTTTGAAAGCCCATAGAAAGCCATCGCTGTGGCCTTGGCCCTGGGGTGCCTGTTGGGGAAGTGGCCTTGGCCCTGGGGTGCCTGCTGGACAAGGTGTTTGGAGGGTTTGGACGGTTTTGGAGAGCGCCCGGAGGGTTTGGAGGGTTTTGGAGGGTTTGGAGGGTTTGGAGGGTTTTGGAGGGTGTTTGGAGGGTTTTGGAGCGTTTGGAGGGTTTTGGAGCGTTTGGAGTGTTTGCGGGCTGGCATGTTGGGGAAGGTGTTTGGAGGGTTTGGAGGGTTTTGGAGGGCTTGGAGGGTTTTGAAGGGGGTTGAGGGTTTGGAAGGTTTTGGAGGGTTTGGAAGGTTTTGGAGGGTGTTTGGAGGGTTTGGAGGATTTTGGAGCGTTTGGATGGTTTTTGGAGCGTTTGGAGTGTTTGCGGGCTGGCAAACGGCAGCTTTGAAAGCCCATAGAAAGCCATTGCTGTGGCCTTGGCCCTGGGGTGCCTGTTCGGGCAGTGGCCTTGGCCCTGGGGTGCCTGCTGGGGACGGTGTTTGGAGGGTTTGGAAGGCTTTGGAGGGCTTGGAGGGTTTGGAAAGTTTTGGCAGTTTGGAGCGTTTGCAGGCGGGCAAACGGCAGCTTTGAAAGCCCATAGAAAGCCATTGCTGTGGCCTTGGCCCTGGGGTGCCTGTTGGGGAAGTGGCCTTGGCCCTGGGGTGCCTGCTGGACAAGGTGTTTGGAGGGTTTGGACGGTTTTGGAGAGCGCCCGGAGGGTTTGGAGGGTTTTGGAGGGTTTTGGAGGGTGGTCCGACAGGACAAGTTCCACACCTGCGGTGGTCCCAGGCGCCGCCCCGGCCTTGGCGAAGGCCGGGGTCGGCGGATTATGTTGCTATGATTACGGTGTATTGAATTCTTATTGCAGTATCACTTCAAAATCTCAAGTCTCAAAACCTACAGTTTCCCTATAGCAGACATTGAGAAACATGGCTTTTGTTTTTTCAGGATCCCCATGTTGCCCCCCCATGTTTCACAGACGAAGCCGCGTCTTCCATGTTCTCTACAGTAATTTCATGGTAATTTCTTAGGCCAGAAGATTCGTCTGTTCCTGTGGAAGATTGCGGAGAAGCTGATGCCTAGTTGCGTTAGTGGATCACTGGACTCATTGGATCTGGAACAAGGGAGCTGAGATTGGACCAAGATCAACTTTGGACACAGACTTGGCCGATTCAGCTTTGGCCACAGATGTTGGAAAAAAACATGTGGTAAGTAAATTAATCATATGTATAATATATATTTATATATACATATATAGGATTTATAAAGGTAATTTTAGTAATTGACCATTTGAAGTTTAGCCAAGAAACTGTTCCATCTCCTTTTGGCTTCGTCGAGACGCTGAGGTGGAAGTGGAATCCTTGTCCTCCAAGACGACCTCAGAGTCGCTTGGCAGGGCCAGTAAAACCAAGAAGAACACAATACATGCATATATATATATATGCATTAACTATAAGCCTATGTATATTGTAGAATATGTAATTATATTGTAGAATATGTATATATATATGTATATATACATATATATATATATATACATGTAATATATATATATATACATATATATATGTATAATATATATTTATATATATATGTATAATATATATATGTATAATATATATATATGTATATACATGTTATGGTTATATATATTTGTTAGATATATAATGCATATATGTATACATATATATTAGACATGTATATATATATTAGATATATATATATTAGATGTGTATATATATATATATTAGATATGTATATTTATATATATATATTGGATATGTATATATATATTTACATACATATTAGATATGTAGATATATATATATATTAGATATGTATCTATATATATATTAGATGTATATATATATTAGATATGTATATATATATTAGATATGTGTGTATATATATATATTCGATATGTATATATATATATATTAGATATGTATATATATATATATGTATTAGATATGTATACGTATATACATGTTAGATATGTATAAATATATGTTAGATATGTATGTATATATATTATATATATATGCATATATTAGATATGTATATATATATGTTAGATGTGTATACATATATATATATATATACATATTAGATATGTATATGTATATACATATATTAGATGTATATATATATATATTAGATATGTATATGTATATACATATATTAGATGTATATATATATTAGATATGTATATGTATATACATATATTGGATATGTATTTATATATATATATTAGGTATGTATGTATATATATACATATTAGATATGTGTATATATATAATTACATACATATATATTAGATATGTATATCTTCAGATTATTGAGATCTTTTCCATGTAACGGTTCTGCCGAAGATTTGATCATGTTAAAAGCCGCTTCAGCGGCTGTTCAGGTCATGCGGTCGCCAGCTGGAGTCTTTCACGCCAGTTGCATCCACACTTCAGTCTTGGCTGGCGTCTCAGTGCGAGCTTATAGATCTCCATAGATCTCCACAGAGAACCATTATGAACCATTATTATCAACCATTATTATCCATTACTTAACCATGATTAACCATTATTAACCATGATTAACCATTATTAACCATTATTATACAACCATTATGAACCATTATGAACCATTATTAACCATTATTAACCATAACAAACCTTCAGGTTTTCAATTTTTGGGAGTGTTTGGTATCACGAACTGCTTGAGTCATGCTGTTTGAAGTCATGATATGTCATGATAAAATATGATAAATCCCAAACAAAATCTGCATCGAATCCAGCTGCTATGTTTGGGGTCTGCTGCCGAGGGAAACTCCCATCCCCGATGCTCATCAGCCCAACAAGTCGGTGCGGGTGCACTTTATGCGACCACGTTTGGCTGACGATGAGGACCTGAGAACCGGCTTGAGCTAAGTTTTTTTTTCGTCAAAAAATACCACCATTGGTAAGAGATCAGCATAGATCACCTGATTGATCATGGACCTTGAAAGATGACGTTTCTATGATATTCTACTTGAAATGATATTGTGTTGGAATGCTTGCTTGGAGGGTATCAATCATCTGGATGTTTGCCGGATGTGCAAAGTTGGTCCAGGAATACACGTTATGGTTGCGCAGGTGTCGTTCTTGTTTAAGCAAGCAAAAGTAGCAATGCAACAAGTTTCCCCGATGTATGGTCATTTATAGATATTTATAGATGGTCTACCTGAGTCTACCTGTCGAACACCGGGATTTTCCGTTGCCAAGTTTCGCTCGGACTGTGGCCATTTCTGCTCAAGCGTAGCGAGGAACCGAACCAAGAGGCTCTACGGCTCTGTGGCCAAAAAACAAGGAGCCATGGCGAGTATCGGATCCTCCTCCCTAGGGGAGCTTTATTCCAAATGTGTGCAGATGGTGCCTTGGATGAAACGGTGAGGGCTTGGCCCATGTTGGAATCAAACACCGACTGATACGCAGTGTTCAGACCGATAGGGGAGCTGCTGACTGAGAGTGCACGATGCAGCCTCAGGTCAATGAGAACAAGATCTCAACGAAAAACGCCTTCGAATTGCCACTCATTGAGCACATGGATGACATCGTGGATTCCTTCATGGGTGGCAAAAAGGCAATGGCTCTTGTGAGAGGACACAACGCGGTCAGACAAGCAAACGAGAGTCGCCGAGAGTAGAATAAAACAGGAATGATGTCAGCTTTTGTTCTGGATTGGTTTGCTGTAGTCTGTATGTAATCTTCATTGACACCTCATGAGGTTTGTTTGCCTCAAGTCTGAGAAAGCACTATTATGTTGCGCATAGATTCTTCACAGCAACATTTTGCTCAGGAATTGTCGGCACCTCTTTAGTCGACGCAAGAAACTCACGGAAAAATATCGTGTCTAACAAAGCCAGAGTACTTGTGCAACACCTGTAAAATCTGTAAAGACTGCATGTTGCTGAAATATGTTATTCTCCACTTCAAGTTCGGTAACGATTGATGTTGGAGGCTCCCAAGAAAGAGAAGGAAAAGGTGCGAAAATCGAGCGCCACTGCGGAAGAAGCAGAAATGGAAAGCAGATTTCACGAGGTGCCTCGGCACTGGAGACACTGAGGGCAGGAGACTGCGACTGCACTGGGGCTTAATCTCATGACATATTTACAATAATTCAATAATAGCTTTCGTGAATATATGGGTGAGTGATGGTGAGTGATGGTAAGTGCATGCATGAAATATATTGAAAATATTGAAATATATCGGTAAAAGATGGTAAAAGCACACACACACACGATACTTGCATGTCTTTGTACCCAGCAGATCCTAGAAACTCCATTACCCGCCTGCGTGCCTGTTGGCATACATTCATACTTTCCTGCAAAGTTGAAGAAGCGGGTGACCCTGGCATGCAATGACTTGATGTTATGGTTTAGAAATTGATGCTCTGGCTCAAGGTGCTTTGGCAATCCAAAATGCTCCAGATAAACGTCGCATTGCCCAGCGGAAAGCGAAAAAGGCTTGAAATCGCAGAGTCCTCCAAAGTAGGGGACTTGAAGATTCTGGCCCAACAATCATTCGGGCAAGGATCTTTGAGGCTTGTCACTTCAGAGGGAAAGATTCTTGTTGACAACCTGGAATCTCTGCAAAACGCAGGGCTTCAAAACGGAGACCATGTCACGGCCGTTGTGCGACCAGCATTAAAGCTCGCGGCAACAGAAAGAGCATTTGCACTTTGGTACTCTGGAGCCAACAAGATCATCACTTGGGGCGACCCAGATTCTGGCGGTGACAGCTCTAGAGTCCAAGATTTGTTCAAGAACGTACAGGGGGTGCGGGCAGCAAAGTCTGCATTCGCTGCACTCCTGGCCGACGGATCAGTGATTACATGGGGCAAAGCAATAGCTGGTGGCGATAGCTCCGCAGTCCAAGGCCAGCTCAAAAAAGTGCAGCAGCTTCAGGCCACAGAGAGTGCATTTGCCGCAATTGTCGAAGGCAGCTCAGTTGTGGCATGGGGTTGTCAAGATGCTGGTGGAGACAGTTTTGCATTCCAAGATGAGCTCCAGAATGTGCAGCAGCTTCAGGCAACCGCTAGCGCATTTGCTGCTATTCGCGCAGATGGATCTGTCTTTGCATGGGGGGATCCACTTCAAGGCGGTGACAGCTCTGAAGTCGAAGATAAGCTGCAGAATGTACAGCAGGTTCAGGCGTCGGCTGGCGCATTTGCTGCCATTCTGGCAGATGGATCAGTTGTGGCGTGGGGCAATGATTACGAGGGCGGTGACAGCTCCGGAGTCCAAGATCAGCTCCAGAATGTGCAGCAGATCCAGGCTTCAGAAGGTTCATTTGCTGCGATCCTGGCAGACGGATCAGTTGTTTTGTGGGGAAATCTATGCATATACAGCCTCGTACCAAGAGTTCCAGACTTCTCAGAGCAGCTCAGGATGCTCAGGAACGTACGGGAGGTCCAGGCCACAATTTGTGCGTTCGCTGCAATCCTGGAAGATGGCTCCGTTGTTTGCTGCGGGCCGTCCCAAGATGGTGGTAACTGCTCTGCAGTCCAAGATCAGCTCCAGAATGTGCAGCAAGTTCAAGCCACACTTCAGACTACAGAAGAGGTGCTTGGCAGTGCGTTTGCCGCCATCCTGGGAGATGGATCAGTAGTCTCCTGGGGCCATCCAGAATGTGGTGGCAACAGCACTGCTGTTCAAGATCAGCTCCGAAATGTGCAGCAGCTTCAGGCAACAGCGGGCGCATTTGCTGCCATTCTGGCAGATGGATCTGTGGTTTCCTGGGGCCATTCAGGTTTTGGTGGTGACAGCTCTGCAGTCAAAGATCGGCTCAAAGGCGTGCAGCAGGTTCATGCATCAGCTCGTGCATTTACCGCCATCTCAACAGACGGATCAGTTGTGTCGTGGAGCAATGAAGAATCTGGTGGTGACAATTCCACAGTACAAGATTTGATTGCTGCCTTGTAGATTGTCGGGAATGCTTTGGATGTCAAAATTTGAAGGATAGAACGTTCAGAGATTTTGCTGCGTGTCGCAAAAATGTCCTATGAACCTCTTTTCCTGGATGATCAGCATTGATACGTTCACCCAGAGGTTGTTTTCAAAACAATATGCAGAATGGGGGAGGCCTGTAGATATCTTCAAATTCACCCCATCACCTGCCATATAATGTACGACGTCTGAGACCCCAGGCATGTCATCGCATGTCTGGGATGGGGCAGACAAATGACCTTGTGATTTTGAAAGCTTGGTGCTTCCTTCTATATACCCGACGAAATGATACATGTGCCTTGTGGACCTTGGATGCGAACATATATCAGCATCTACTACTATATCTGTGCTATTATGTTTGTACCTTTGATTTAAAGAAACTTTAATTTAATTGTAATCAAGAATGACACATACTCTTGCATGCATGTGGCTTCAGAGGCCAGCTGCACGATCGAAGCCTCTGCCCGGATCTATGCCTGTCGTGTGGATTGTGTGCACACCGACACCTACCGCGTCCTCGGCGGGTTGAACTCTGCGGATGTGGCGAATGAAGAGGATGGACCACCAGGAGAAGATGGAAAGCCAGTGAAGAAGCGAAGGATTTGTGGTGTGAACACCCTGGTTTCTTGTCTTGAAAAGGTTGAAAAGGGAAGTCACACTGGACAATGATACGGAAAACCATTGGCCATTTAAGGGTCACTGTTCGTGTTTTTGCATTGGACATTCCGAATTTGGCAGAAGATCATTGTATAATAGGGAAAACTGCAAGTCTTGTTGAGTCTTCAGCGCGACGTAGGCTTTCCAAGTTGGTTGTAACTAGGTTTGGGTGACATCCCAGAAATTTGAGTCTTTGCTGGTGGTGTGCACTGACAAAATCACCAGTGTGAAGCATTAAAACGCATATGTGGGTGTGGGCCAAAATCGGTACCTCCTAAATCGGATGGGCGTAAAAAAGGTGATGCATGGTAATGCAAAAACTACTTTACTTCGAGTGATCCCCGCCGTGACAAGCTATTTTGTCATAGTTTCTGACATTTTATCTGGAAGTTTATACAATATTATATATATATGGTATATATTTTCTGACATTCTATTCTATTCTGGCATTCCATTTGACATTTTCTATCTGGCATCTATTCTGACATGCTTTTCCGCCATTCTATCCGGCATTCTTTCTGGCATCTATTCTGGCATTCTGTCTGACATTCTATTCTGGCATCTATCGTGGCATTCTATCTGGCATCTATCGTGGCATTCTATCTGGCATCTATTCTGTCATTCTCTCTAACATGGGCACTGCCGGACCTCAACCGCTAGCGCTAGATCTGGGGCTCGCGGTTGAGGTCCAGCCCACTGAGATAAAATCTAGAGACCCTCACCTGGCAGGTGGGGAATAACCACATGTGGCTTTTCAATGCTTTTCACCCGTGAATGGTTTTTTAATTGGCGAGAAAGTGCGCCCAGGAGAAGAATGAGGCAAATTTGGTCCAGCAGAACATCGAGGCTGACGAGCAAAGTGATCCAATGTTCCGCCGCATGGCTGCCGCCTTCGATGCTGGTGGGGCCAAAGGCCTTCTGCTGAGCCATTTGCCGCTGGCTGAGGCAGGTGGTCAGAGTAGTCGGTTGTGGCATTTTTGGTTCATTTTGTAGCAAAGATAAGAGGGTGATGATAACACAGTTGGGACATCCAGAGTTGATGGATGTGAAAGATTCTGAGGCGATATTCTTCGGTTGGGTTCTTGTGTTTGTTTCGTTTGCGTGATTACTGCAAGCTTGTGAAGGACATGTCCCTGGTCTTCAATGGTGACGTAAAGCTTTCGAAGCTTGCTTCGCAGAGATTCTGTTTGTCCAGCGGGTTTCTGAGTTGAGCATGGCAGCCAGTTGCTCCAGATCTTGCTGTAGTAGATTGCAGATGTAGCTGCCAAAAACCATCAATAAATTTTCTTTCAGTGATTTTTACGTATAATAAACCATCAATAAACATCAATATATATAAATACCATTTGCCAAATCCTGAGGAAAGCTCAAAGTTCTGCAGAGTCCATCTTCAAAGTTTCGACCTCATCCATCTCAGCGGACTCTATTGGCCTGGGAGAGCCAGCTACCGCTACAAGCCACTGGGTCGCAGCGCAGCTTAGAGAGCACAGCTGCAGGATCAGGATGTATCAATAGTCTCACATTGTTTAAATATGTTTCAATATATCTTTCCACATGTTTCATAGATACTTTCATCGTGGCCATGTGTTCTGAGATTTCGTACATGTTCAAACGTTGTCCCGTTTTGGCCAGACAGCATGGAAATTCTTTTCGAGGCAAAATCGAGGAATCGAGGCTGTGTCCGGAATTGGATAGCTTTCGACGCCAGCTTTGGGGTGATAGTTCCTTCACAATGCCAAAAGCATTGGCACCTCGGCATTCAGATCTGTGTTTCGCATCCCTGAGAGATCAACCCCTAATTGCCATATATTGCCATAATAAGGGCTCCAAAGATTTTGGAGCTAGGGACACTGGCTGTCACACACTGCCACGGATCCCAAAAAATGGCCCAGTGAGGAAGACTTGCTGGGCGTCGCAGTCCTTTCTGGTCCTGGAACATCTGAAGCCTTGGCAGCTTGTACTCAACCACAAGCTGCAGTGATGGAGAATGAGGACTTCGCTCCACCAGACATGGCTGATGGCATGGCTGAGTTCAGTGATGCGGCTGACGTGGCTGACGTGGGCAGTGGAGCCAGCGCTATGGCAGCCAGCCCGCCCAAAGGAAGGGAAAAGCCACTTCCTTTGGTGGACATGTCGGCGTCGCAAGTTCTGGCAGCTCCTGCCAGTAGCAAGGATGATGTGGTGGCTGGATGGTTTCAAACATGTTCAAACGTTTCTTATTTCTCCCAGTATTTTGATGTATTTGGATTATCACTGATTGTCACTCATGTGACTTTAATGTGTTCAAATGTGTTTCAACGAAAGGTGGCTTTTGACGAGCTCTTCGAGAAGTTTTGTGGCGCGGGCGGTTCCAATCAGTTCGCCTACTTTGACGAGTGCTGGTCAAAGCTGGCACGGGACAAAGGGAAGACCTCAGGTGCCTTGGCAGATGCCGAAGGCGCTCTTGCAGAGGTCAAGGAGCCGAAGGCCAGATGGGAACAGATGGGAACAGATGGGAATCGGAAAATGGCCAGGCAGATGGAAGAAGTCATGTAGCAGTTCTGATGATTTCATATATTTTAGCATTTATAAGCTACTGGGGGCCTTGATGTGGATAGAATTTCAGCGTGTGATTTTGCAGCACTCTGAAAGTAGAGCGACGTCGGCATCAACCACTGAAAGTGCACGCCTCGCATACAATATACAAGACTCTAATCAGCGAAGTTTGAGGTTATCTCAGGTTTGTTTTCTTCATGTGTTCAGCCTCAATGATCGATTACGCCCCTTGTGTCAGCTAGCTTGTGAACAAGCCACCATCAACCATCAGTTTCATCTATTCACACGCCACAACATTCGGTCCAATCAACCCAGTAACTGGAGAAACTCCGCTGCCAGTCCATTGGTGTCCAACTGGATTTCTCATATTTTTCCATGGGTTTGTTTTAAAATTGGGTACCTCTAAACTCCATTGGATCATTCTCATTATGCCTATTTGAATGGCCAGTTGTTTGGGGGTAGTCCAACCCCATTTCGTGTTCCAGCGGTGTTCCAGCGGTGTTCCTGCGACTGCAGGAGCGGCAATCCAAGCGACCCCTGTTTGACCTCACCAACTTGGACAAAGCGGCCAAGCCGATCGAGACGGAAGCGGTCGGAAAGCATCAGATGAATGAAAAGGCGAGCCAATGGCAACTCAGGACGTGGCCCAGTTGGAACGCAAGTCTGGGAGATCGTCACATTATCTTATATTGGATGTTACATATTATGATCATTTATTACATGATTTATGATCGAAGGAAGTTTGGAAGTCAAACTTCCGACAATATGGACAGATGGAAAGCAGAGGTGTGAAGAGTCAGAGAAGAGAAGAGCAGAAGAGAGAAGATCAGAGAAGAGAAAGAGTGAGAAAAAAGAAGATGCAGGTGTGCGAAAAGGTAGCAAAGTCGCGAAACACTGTGTGTTTCCAATGATTTGTGGCTCGGGAGGGTCGAAAAGTAGGCTCGCTAGAGCGGCGGGCGCAGAGCCAGCTGGCCAGATGAGAGATGAAAAATTGCACGCCGTTGTGGCGCGAAGCACATTTCGAAGTCAAAATGCACAAAAGACCTTAGCCTCGGAGCACTTTTGGAAGTTCAGATGTCGAAAAAGTGCACGCTCGTGTGGCACGAAGCGCATTTTGAAGTCAAAATGTTCAAAAAAAAAAAGAGGTTCGGACCACTTTTGGACGTTCAGATGTCGTTTCGCGTGGCAGGCGCAAGGGATTGTGCACCTTGTCAAAAGTGAGCAAAACGTGAGGGTTTTGTAGCAGTTTCAAAAGCGTTGGCAGGCGTGGGAGGACATTTGAAGAGGATCTGCAAAGATGCACTTTGCCTGGCAGGCGCAGTACAAGAGACATCTTCAGCCGAGATGTTAGGAGGTCAGGGCGCTGATTTCCTGAGAAGGGTTGCATTTTGGCGCATCAGATCGTCACGTTTGCTAAGATGTTTTTGCGTGACAGGTGCAGCATTTCGTATCCTGGCCTCACTTTCTCGTGGCAGGCGCAATACTGTAGACAGAAGGAAGTCTCGCAGAATTGCTTCGTTTCTGGTGTTGTCAATGTCGAAAATTGAGGAAGTCTCGCAAAATTGTTTCGTTTTTGACGCTGTCAAGTTCAAAAATTGAGGAAGTCTGGCAAAATTGCTGCGTTTTTTATGTTGTCGAAATCAAAAACCTAGGAAGCCTCGCAGACTTGGCTTCGTTTTCAAGCTTGCAGATAGATAGATAGATAGATAGATAGATAGACAGATAGACAGACAGACAGACAACTACAACCACAACTACAACTACAAGTACACCACTCTACTACTGCAACTTACTGCAACTACAAATGCAAACATACTACGCTACATTACACTACATTAACTACATTGCACTACACTAATTAAATCTAACTACGCTACACTACACTAATTACACTACAACTACAGCAACTACTACTGCTACCACAGCTACAACTACAATTACAACTACAATTACAACTACAATTACAACTACAATTACAACTACACTACACTACAGTAATTACACTGCAGCACACTACAACTACAAATACAACTACAATGACAACTACACTACACTACAGTAAATACACTGCAGCACACTACAAATACAAATCCAACTACAACTACGCTACATTACACAACACTACGCTGCACTACAGTAATTGCACTACACTGCGCTACAACTACAACTACACTACTTCACAATACACTACACTAGGCTACACTACACTATACCACACTACAGTACACAACACTGCAGTACACTACACTGCACTACACTACACTACACTAATTACACCACACCACAACTTTAACAGCAACTGCAACTGCAACTGCACTACACTAATTACACTACATTACAACTACAACTGCAACTACAACTACCACTACATTACACTACGCTACACTACACTAAGCACACTACTCTACAAGTATAACTACACTATTTTACACTACACTACACTAGACTATACTACACTATACCGCGCTACAGTACACAACATTACAGCACACTACACTACACTAATTACACCACACCACAGCTACAACTGCAACTGCAACTGCAACGACGCTACCCTAATTACACTACATTACAACTACAACTCCGCTACACTACAACACAACTTCAACTACAACTACAACTGCGCTACGCCACACTACATCCAGCAGTTGTGGGCGAGGTGTGCAACCATTGCAGCCACTTCAAAAAACACAAGTCCAACCACCTTTCGGTCCATCAGTCCATCATTGGATTCGCTCTGCCATTCGTGATTCACAACAACCAACCCCTCCTATAGGTTCCTATTTTTGAAGCTTCCGCCACCGCCTTGTGCGGCACTACTGGTATATATATATATATGTATATATAACATATTATTTGTACGTCATTTTTTGTTAAAATTTAATTAAATATTATTTATCCACATATATATATATATTGAACACAGTATTATATTGTTTTTAAAAATGCAACTCATAGCAGAAGCAAAGAAATAAGACCGCTTGGATGCAGGAAGGATGTGCCTCCCTACATGATTGATCGCATCACTATGCCGAGCTGGCAAACCTGGTCCAAGGTGGGGGCAGTCGTATGGTGCAAAATAGAAATCTGGATATATGGATATGATATGATTTAATGGGATTAAATGGGATTTCAATGTGATATTATGGACACAAACAACTTGCCCATGCTTGCCCTACAGTAAATTCACATAGACTAGACAACCATTCAAAACCAATCATTTATAACGGAAAACTCATGGAATTTAATCATGTGTTTTTGTCCATCTCTTTGTCTAAAAAACGGTTCTAAAACAACTTTCAGATCTGCCATATCAAATTTCGGATCTCTCAGGTGGACTTCGCATGTTTGGGACTTCGCCCACATCTGATGCTGAAGTTGGTGCGGAAACCACCTCCACCTACTGAAGGGCCGCATGGCTTCTCTGAGCTCTTCTCTACGGTGGTGGTGGAGAATAACGAGGCCAGCGGACCACGCTTTGACTGGGTGACTGGGGGTCCAAACAGAGGGGATCCCGAAAATTGATTAAGAAAAGTGGATGGTTTGCTTAACAAGTTGCTATGATGTCAAATTATAAATCCCGAAAATTGATGGTTTGAGAGGAACATCCTATTAAAATCGTTAAAATGTTTGGAAATGGAGATTTCGGGGGCTCCCATTTACGGAAAAAACCATTGATGGAAATACGGAGATGAGTCATGTTACTGTGCATGGAGCATTCAACCCTCTCAGTGTTGTGAAATCGCAGGGTAAGTGCACATAATCACCAGAATTTATGTGGTTAAGTTCGATAACATATCTAAAATTGAAGTATGGTTTATAAGAATCCATTTCTGGCAGAATTGGAGATGCTTCATTGATACGGTTTCCAGGTTAATCATTTGGTGCCCAGCCAGTGGGCCGCAGCATTCCTATGGCCAGGCCTTTCCATGGTTGGCCTCTGAAAAGTCCACTCGAAGGGAGGAGGTATCTTGGCATGGAGGGCTTCCAGAAATGGGGGGACCCCCAAGGCCCAAATCCATCCATTTGTTTGATTTTGTTTGGAGGGACATTCCGTGAAACCATCCAGATATTGGATGATATTGGGGTACCCACTTGGTAGTTTCGCCAATGCATGATTCAAAGATATTCAAAGCAGTGCCCTTTCAGAGAATCTCATGATTAGCAGCTGCAGTCGCCATTCCTTGCTGCCCCAAACAGAGCAAAGGTGAGAAGTGTGACATCTAGCAGGGATTAGAATAGGTTTTCCAGGTTCTGAACAGGCCATTGCCCGTTGGTTCAAACCCAAGTGAATTTCGGGCTTTCCAGCCAAAATCTGACGAATCTGAGCCATGCAGCTCAGAATCTTTCGCAGTGTCAGACCATCCCTCCTTGGACATTCTCTATATGATAGGTGCCACTTCAACACCTTTGCCCCAGCTGCTGGCGGCATCAAGTCACTGATCCCTCGGCAGCCATGGCTTCCGGGTCCTTTTCCAGGCCACGGCTTGGCCAAAGAGAAGTTGGAGGCCTGTGCTCCACCCCAGCGGCAGTCGGAGGAGCTGCGGAAGCTGATCGAAGCGGCCAAAGTGCTACCTGAGAAAAGCCGTGAGAGGAGTCCAAGGAGAAAGCCGGATGAGATGGGGAGATGGTTGTGTAACCAATGTGGACAGATGCTCTTTCAGAATGCATTTTCCTGTAGAACTGGACACAACATTCCACCAAGTAAATGCCGGAAATGTGAAGGTGGCAATAGTTTGCTATACAACCGTACCCTTCGGGGCAGCTTGAAAGCAATGCTTGGCAGTGCTGCGGCAAGGGCCAGAAGGAAAGGGCTGGACTTCAACATGTCCTACCCAGACCTTGTTGGCATGTTGGAGTTTCAACGCGGGAAGTGTGCTTACTCCGGAGTGGGTATGGAAATTGAGCAGCCCAATAGTCACTGGAGAATGTCCCTTGAGAGGGTTGACAATAGTTTGGGATACACAACATCAAATTGTGTTTTGATTGCTGCTGAGTTTAACTCCTGCGATGCCAGCAAGGGCAGAAATGTGGACCCTGAGAGCGTTCTCGGATCTGCCCAGTGGTCCCGTCACAAAGTTGAGGAAGTACGCAGACTGCAAATGCAACCTATAGGTTTGAATCAGCTTGCAGTCGACATCCAGCATGCTCAACACGGAGAACCCAGAGCCACAATGCCCAGAACGTATCATGCGGGCGCATCCAGGTGCGGGCAGAAATGTGGTTTGCGTGTCAAATCTTTACGCCAGCACCTCGATCAGTGTTTGAGTGGCGCAAGGAGACGAGCAAAGTTGAGGGAGCAAGAGTGTAGCATTACCAGAGGTATTTTGCTACACTTGCTTGCAAAGCAGGGTGGTCGGTGTTTCTATTCCGGGGTTCCATTGGAATACAAGCTGGTTCATACTCACTGGCGGCTGTCTGTTGAGCGATTGGACAATTCGCTAGGATACACGCTGGAAAACTGTGTTCTGATCGCGCTTGAATTTAACACTCCCGATTACAGCCGCAACACAGCTGTCACAGAAGTCTTTGGAACTGCGCAATGGTCTCGTGAGAAGGTTTGGCACGTTTGGGGGCTTTAGCTTTTGCATCCAGAACTTCGCGACAACAGGACCTATCCACCTGTGCTCCGGAAGGCACAGTGGAACGTGCCACAAAGGCAAAGACTGGTTCGGTAGACTGCGGCCAATGGATAACTTCCGAAAGGCATGCACCGTTTTTGTTGCTGCAAGCAGTCTCCAATAGAAGTTCGCCGGCCAAGGTCAGAGCTTCAGTATGTGCATCCCGCACTTCCATGGCCATGACCGCAGCTGATGCGCCTCCTCAAATTCTCTGAATGATGTTTCAATTCAAGCCTCTCCAGGTATCAGATGGTCTTGGTTAGTATTTGTCAGTGGATTCATTGTCATCGGATTCCACAAGCTTGATGTGCAAAACTGGATCAGAATACTCTCCAGGCAGTGCCACCCACATTTATTAATCAATGCCCTAAATGATGGCACCGGCAGTCACGTTTGCAGAGGAATCATTCCTGGAATTTCAATCACCGGAATGATTCCTAGATGTCACATTTGATTTTTTGTCCATGCATTTCTCCTATCAGGCTTCCAGTAAGCATCCCTAGTCCTCCAGTTTCCGTTTCCAAGTTTGATCTATCAAAGTATCGTAGAATCTGAGGTTCTCTGAAAGTGGAGCATATTCCCAAAACCTAACGGAGAAATCAATGACAAGCCACCAGTTTCTGGAGTATCCTGTTGTTGGACAAGCGCATGTTATAATTATAAAACAATATAAAACATAAACCATCATGAACTATGAGAAACCATCACAATACATCATAAACCATGAATGAGATATAAATCATTTTTCGTGTCAATACATGTCATTTTTATCATTGTTATGAAATATCATAGGTCGTCACAAATCATCATGGAAATGTAATCATTTTTCATCACCATAACTTACCCCCTGTCAGAATCGTTACGTCTCAACGTCCGCGTGAGGATATGGAGGAGCTGGGAGAGGATGATGGTGGACTCCCAGCCCACCTCGAAGTGGATCCTCAGGACGAAGCTGTAATGATTTCATGCGAATTTACAGTGATTCAATGGGGCTAATGATTATTTTATGGCATCTTATGGTGGTTCAATGGGAGTTTATAGTGTTTCAATGGGATTTTAGGGAGTTTATAGTGATTCAATGGGATATTAATGGGATAAATTGGAGGTTCAATGGTATATTAATGGGATGTTTACCCTCCGGTAATCAGCTCCATGGCTTGCTGGAAAATCAATCATTCATAAAGGTGTTTTCCCAGCTATGAAACTCCATTTTGATCGAGGATTTCCCCTTGCCACGTTTGACTACCAGAGGGTAGTCAATCTATACCAATCTTGGAACCTGGAGAATTCCAATTTTGTCATCAATGGATGGGAATTTTAATGGGAGATCATCAGATGTATCCCGTAGTATTTTGAGATCCCATTTATTGGCACCTTGATTTGGGGGATGTTTGATGGGATTCATTGATGTATATGACCAACATGAATTGATGCGACATTTGATGGGATAGTACAGTAGCGACCATCATATGTGCAGCTCGTCAAAACATGTGTCATTTTCCAATATGTACCATCATTTTCTCCTGGTCATCCTCTAAGTTAGTTGGGTTACAGCAACCTATGTAAACATATATACTCATTTTCAAGAATCCCTTTTGATGGTGGGATGACCATAGCCCATATGCCATGTTTTGGCCATGGCACATGTTGTATCATATGGGATGTGTTTCCAAATTCAATGGTTTTCTCAATATGAGTTGGAGGAATGAACATCGATAAGAAGCAACTATTTTGTGAAAACAATGCTACCGGTTTTGAACCAGTGCCATACAAAAATGATATGAAAATCAGATGAAAAAGAATGAAGACTTTCTTTAACTTCAACACGAAATGCAAGCCTTTCACCAAGACGAAGACGGGGCCATAGGATATATAACTAAGGATAGCTAAGTATAACTTGGTATAGTCCCCCAATAACTATTCTACTATGAATCAATGATGATTGACCAGACAAAGCTCCCACCAGGAGCTCTTCCTGGGACCCGATGACAAGGCAGGACACTATGGGGTTTTGGAATGGCGGGGCATTATCTCAACTGTATACAGATGAATGGCTATGGGTCAGTTCTGCTGTTCAGCCCAAATAGCTGGGATTTATGGATGCTCATCCAATATCCCCATAGGTTTTCAATTTGGTTCATAGGTTTTCAGCCATACCAAAACATCACGGAAATGGAAAATTCCATGGAACATCACCCTTTTTGATGGATGGTTGTCCCATTAAAATGCCCATTTTTAATGGGAATTTCCCAGCGAGGTCCTGCCGGGTGCAGACGAGGGACTTGGTGATGTTGACATGGACGACCTCGCAGGCTCTTTCATGGCGCCTCGGACTTGTTATAGATGGGATTCTAATGGATTCTATATGATCCCGTGATAACTGGAGCCGAGGGTGAGGTGCTAAGTCGCCTGGAGTCGTGGGCTGCGACACCAGTTGAGTGTGACGATCAACCACTGGATTTTGGGATACAGTAGTTCATTTTCAGACAAACTCTTATTATCCTCCATGGGAACCCCTTGAGTGAACCTTCATCAAGGCCAGTGGATTGGATTTCGAACTTGCTGAGAAGCCAACCTCAGCAGAGAATGTGGACATCGGATATAGCCGCAACTCCAAGTTTGTGGCTGCTTGGTTTCAAGGTCGACTGTTCATGCCAATTGGGGGAATGTTATGTTTGATATTGTACAGCTGATTGGTTGCATGATATGAATTTGATCTTCACAGTTCACAGATGTACCGCAAATACCAGGGCCAACAAAGAGCTGGCTCAGAAAAAGTGTGATGAGCAGTCAGCAGTCCTTCCGGAAGTGTCCAGCAAAGTCGAGAAGGCTGCATCATATCGTTGGAATTCGTTGGATTAGTTTGCAAGCTAATTTCACCAATATTGTCCAATCCTTCCAGGTTGGAAACGTTCCATGTGTAACCAAAACTCTGTAACTGTCCAAGTGTTAATTTGTGTTTGAAGATGTTTTAAGTATGACCCGGCGTATGACCGGGCTTCTTGGATGCTTTGCTCAGGATGTGAAGTTGGTGAAGAAACATCTCTGGGGATGTCTGGAGAAAGACCTGGCATCTTTGAAGGAGTCGAAGGCGAGCCAGGCGACCCACAGCTTTCAGGACTTGGTCTCCAGGACTGTCAGTGCCATGCCCAAAGGTGACTGCGAAAATCTCAGTGCTGCAGCCTCTTGGCTTGAAACAAATGAAAATCTTGCTGGGAATGGCTGGCCGTACCCGACGATGACCCCTTGTTGCTGGGAAAAATCATGAGAAATGCCGGAACTGGGGGTTTTGATGGGAAAATCATCTACAAATCTGGGGTTCTCCAGCAAGCCATGTTTCATTGCCCAGAGGGTAAGGCTTGGATGGCTTTGTGTTGGATGGTTTTGGGATGACAATGATGAAACGTGGACTTGACATTGCCACAGCTTCGGAAAGATATCGAGGGGCATGCAAGTTCTGGGATGGTAGCACACTTGACCGAGGAACCTCTTTTGGAAGAATTATTGGGGTCCACAAAAGCCATGAAAGAACATGCAAAAGCAGAAAAGGTCTCATGATGTTCTTGGATGTCTCAACCAAGGTATGCTTCATTTGTGCTTTGCATCTTTGCAATGAAAAGAACTTGGAGCTGAAGACGGATCCTGCCAATCCGTTGGGTGACTTTGCCATTGTCGCGCACTCGTAAACACGAGACCGCGAGCTTCTTGACAGCTCCCAGCAGTGGTAGTGTAGCTTTAATTCGCGGAACGCGGTTGAAATTCGGACACCAGCCGAAGTGACATTGAATAGCCGATGGGTGCAGCTTTGTTGCACACACCAGTTGCGGACTGGCGCTTCAGTGAACATGCGCGAATAACAGCAACAAAATTCATGCTACAAGGACTGAGAGAACAGAAGAATCCAGGAATATCTAGGAATCAATGTATTTTCACAATGGGACGTATTGGCTGCTACTATGTCATGTCAATGAATGTCTTGCTCACTCTCCGGCAGGGCTTATTGACACTATGCCTGAAGCCCGAGATGCTTTGGGGTCAGCGTTTCTTCAGGCATGTGGTACCCTTTGGTACGGCTGATGACGTCATGGAGTCATGGCATAAGATCAGCTGTGACTGGCTGGATCAACATTCACAATCGGCTGTATAAGGAATGACGTCTGTCAGTCTCTTGGAGCTCGTTCTGAAGGAAGTAGATAGAATCCTGCGCTAATCTCCTCGTTCTTTGCATCTTCGCTGCAACTCCGAAGTGTTGCTCTGTTCAAAAGAAGCCCTGGATAGCGCTTGGATTGGAGACAGGGTGGACGGGTGGACTCGTGCAACCAAGGAGCTTGGAAGAATCAATTTGGATCAATTTGGATCCATTTAAATCATGGGACGGCGATATAAACATGATCCCCAAGGTTAAGACTAACGCGCATCTCTTTTATCATCTTTTATCAATCGACGAGCGAAAATGGGAATTTTGAGGCCTCCCTTAAGGCGTCCTTGTATCCCTCATGTCAAAGGAGTGGGGAACTGGTTTCAATGAGCGTATTACAGTATGATCTATAAATATATAATCCTGAGAAGTAACATCGCCAGGAAAGCGGATGCTTCTTGTTTGAAATTGGTCAACTTGGCCTGTGTATTTGCTTGGTGAACTTGGTCAACCGTCACGGTTCCAAAATGTCCTCGCTAGCGCTACACTGCGAGGACGTCTTGCATTGGAGTGAAGATTTCCCGGCGACGACGCCTTTCCCAATTCCGCAGAAGGGGTCACTCGGAGTTCAGTGACGCCATGGCATCATGGTTGAGATGCAAACCTCCAAGAGGCATTAGCCAATTCCACTGGCATCCCATCAAGAAAGCGTCCGGACAGCACCGTGCCTCTTTGCAGTCCCAAGTCACTAGTCACTCACAACTGGCACCGGTTTTAAGATTTATATGGCTGATTCACAGAAGTGATTTACTGTAAGATGATTTAAGTCATTTAAGTTTTTATTCGATGATTAATCAGTGCATTTCAATAACGCTGTCATCACCATTGCAACTACCACCCCCCATCACCGCCACGATTATCATAATTCTTTTCCACCACATTTAGAGTCAGCCAGTAACAGTCATAGTTTGTTTCATCACGATGATCCCTTGGGATCCCTTGGGGGCTTTGCCAAACCATTGCATCATGGTTCCCTTGATGTGAGGTGTGTGGTGCCGATTTGCGCAGCTCCACCCTTGTTCACCCAGGCAGACCTTCTTTGCTGCTAGACCGTTATACAATGTTATACAGATTTATGTATAAGTATAAGATTATAAATGTACATAACTTATACGTACCTAATAGTTATTGTTGTTGTTATTTCTTGGGCTTCCCATACCCGTTACTTTCCACTTGCTGAGTTCATTCGTGGACTTGGTGTCACCTAATGCTTGTCAAAATCGTGCGATCCGTCCAAGACTACAGTGAACTGTTTGGAGTTGACCTACGTTTCAGACCATCATCAACAATTAATGAGTTTTCAGGAAGAACATAGCAGAGTTAAGTAGAGCAAAATCCGGCACCCGGCACCTTAAAGTGGGTGGTTCACCATGTTCAACATGATATAGCATGATATAGCCATGGCCCCAGTCTGACAGTGCCATGAATGGCCCCCTTGTGGCGGTTGAAAAAATCGACGCGTCCAGGACGCTCCTGAGATGATCGATGCAGATGTTTGTCCCACGAGTGGCTCAGCACTGATTTTAAAAAAAGAGGTTGTTCTGCGTTCTTCAAAGGTAGCGAGCTAATGGAATCTACATGGTCATTTTGCAAAAGGACAGCAGCACCTTGCATATTTATCTGATTCTTTGTTTCAAATGGAGGGATTTTCCATCATTTCCGGTGGCCAAATCCATGTGGCTGTGACCAATCTCAGGTCTTTATCACACGCCGAAGTCTTGCGCATGCACCTTGCTGAGTTGCAACAACGCTAAGGAGCCGAGGGCTTCGTGGTTTCAGATGTAACCATATTGGGGAGGATGATCCCAACTCGCGAGCATTTCTTTCATGAAAGGTGATGGGAAAATCCATTTCCTGAAAGGATCTACATGAAAGGACTACATAAAGATCATAAAGGGTGGGAAGATCGCCATGCTTCCCTGCCAATCGTATGCTTGTGGTTGCTTTGGTGGGTCGTAACATGTCGTAACCATGTCCTAAGTGGAAGTTTGTTTTTGATTCCATCAGCTCGTCACTGCTTCTTCAATCTTTTTTTTTGACTCCAACGTGAGTTGCAGTTCTTTGATGCCTGTCGTTTGCCTGACTGCATGCTGCAAGTGTCGAACCGCCCGCCCTGTGTGAACAACTGACTATGTAATCATTTTCAGGGGGTTGAAACCACCAACCAGCTACTTGCAGCACGGGGCAACAGGGTAGTTTTCGCCTTTCTAGCCCTTCACACTACGACACGGACTTCTAAGGAGACCCCCTGAATGGAATTGATTTGGTTTGAATGGCAAGCCTGAGTGTTGGAGATAGGTACATCAGTGTGCTCACTTGGTCTATGTGAGATTGTTGAACCTATGCGAACTGTCCCGGTGGTAACAGCGACATGTTCAAGACAAAACGAAAAAGTATTTGACTTCTTCATACAGCATGGAAACATGGAAGTGCGATTGTCATGTACATGTCCAATCATTTAAACATTATTGCATATGTAATTAATTAATTAGTTAATTAATTAATTAATTAAGTAATTAAGTTAATTAATTAATGAATTTAGTTAATTAATTAATTAATTAGTTAATTAATTAGTTATATATATATATAGACATGTATTCATAGCATTGCCTGGAAACGAGGCAGCGTGCGTTGTACAAGCACCAAAGGCAATGAATTTCGTGCTCGCCTCACTGCGTTTGCGTCGCAGGAAGTCACAAGGTGGCACGCCAACTTCGCGCAACGGGGGAGCCATGGCCCAGGAAGTGGGGAACCAGGAAGTGGCCATGAAATTTACCCTCTGGTAATGGCTGACATAGCTATTGAAAATGGCCATTTATAGTGAGTTTTCCCATGAAAAATTGTGATTTTCCATAGCTATGTTAGTTTACCAGAGGGTATTGGATATGTTTGGTATATACAAGGTATACCTTCAAAAAACTTATGGGAGATATCACTAGCAATAGTATACCTGAAAATTACCTGAAAGTATAGCCGCATAGCCATTTTATCTGGATTCCTATATTGGGATGGATGACCATAATCCATACACCATGTTTTGACCATGGCATACATGAAACAACCCAGCTAGATTAATAGGTTGTAAGAGGAATATTCACACCTAGGTTACATATAGGGGTTATTTTCACCACTCACTATCTGGGATGCGCGCATCCAAGTAGCCAGCAAACACTGGCACATATGACCAGGAAATTGTGTCGAGAATGGGTACGACAAATGAATCAGTGTCAAACTGGGGTGACTGCCGAAAGTCACTCCATGTGTCTATGCGGGGCAGAAATTTTCGCTACCTCCTGCTTCCCGAGCGCTTATATTGCCGCGCCATTCGGAATCTATAGTGTTTGTTTGACCGCAGAATACCGCAGCCCGTATTTTCCTCAGGTTGGGAAAATCCAGATTCTTCCATGAATATCATGGTGCATATTTGGGAGTTCACAATTTTGCCGGCGCTGGGAGAGGAATCCTCGGTGGAATTCCTTGGCCTAGCATTGCATTCAAGGTATATACCATTTCCCAAGATTGCAGGCCCCGATTTGTTTCCAGATTCTTCATGTGTGCCATGATATGCTATGGTTGCAACTTGGGCAAATGATGGCAAATGCCTATATTGCTGGATGGTCATAAGATATAAGTGTCCTCAATCCACTAATCGGGAATTATATGCCCATTGAAAGGGATTTTTGAGCAAGTTGCTGAAAAATTACTGACATAATGACCTTGATCTTCACAACTGAAATGATTTGATGTGTCACTCAGACAGTGCTATAGGTCTTTATATTTTGACTATTTTTGTGAATTATGCTTATCTCTGGTTTATGCATGTTTATGCTGAAGATGACGAATGACCCGCTTTGATAGCAGCTGAGGACGTATCGTCATCATGATGCTACAGTCAGAGTGAGCTACTGCTCAGTGGTGAATTTGTGACAAGGCCGGCATGCCATGACTCCGGCTACCAGCTGTGAAAAACATATCCAGGATGAATCCAATTGACTACTTTGGATGGCTTGAAACCACCAGACAAACTACTAAACTATGGTCGTTTTCCATGTCAAAAATGATGATATGATCAATTCCAGCGCCTTGGAGGGTGCAAATTCGAAACCGGGATGATGATCCCCAATGACTACGGACGCTGATTCTAATTACGGGGTCAATGGGCCCATGAGAGACGCTGAAGCCCGGACGCTCTCCATAAGAAGAGGAAACAAAGAGTCCCCGGATGCATTGGCAGGCAAACAGAATTGCACGTCAGATCAATTTCTGTAGGGTGCTGCCGATTCATAAAAGTTCATGGCACACATGGATAATATGCTGGACGACTCTGAATTTGCTGATGAAAGCCATGCTTAGAGCTATTTAGGGCTGGAATTCTCTTCATGCCATGGATGACAATCAATGATCAGTGGAACAAGCGTTGACAGAGAGCTTTGTGATTGGTTCATGAGTCAATGTGAGCCAAACCTATAACCTGGAGTCGATATGAATCGGCAGATGCCTGACATGGTTCGGTCAATGGAAGCTGTAGGAACTGCCTGCCTCATGATGAAAAATCCTCCTCGCATGAACACTATGGTGCAAACCAATGGAGCCACAAAATTGGAAGTACTGTACTGTGTCATCAAACTAGGTAGCAGGAAAGTCGATTTCATTTACAAATTGGGGAGTTGCCATGGCCAGCTTTGATTCCTGTACATTGAAAATCGGAAGTTCAGGTGTTTGGGCCCGCATTGAGGCCCAGGTTTTTTGCACAAAGCTGTTCTTGTCATCACTCCTTATGATTTGTGGAGGATTGGCAGTTAATGCTCTTAAAGCTGGGGCATGAGCCGCTTGTCACCTGGGAATCCCGGGCAGGGCATTGCACTGTGGTTTTGCGCACTGTTCGCCTTGTGTAGCACAGTAGTTTCTTTTTGCCATTGACCTCTTTCACACATGGGAAAATGTCCGCAGGGCCAAGTTGCTCGGGATGTCATGTATTGTGTTGATTTATAGATTTTATATGATTTTATAGATTCGTGCATTCCGAGACCTTGAAAAAGAAGGATGATGTCGAAATAGGCACCTGATTGAATTCTATTTTTGTGTGACATGTCGGACTAGCAAATTCAAAACATAGCTGTGACATGCTGTCACACCGTATGAAGCAACCGCTCAAAGCTCTCGGACACCACACCAATTTTCACCCTACAGGTCCTTCACAAGAAGTTTAATTCATCCATGTGGATACTGGGGTATCTTTCAGTCCCCCTGGTTCGATTTGCCCAGTCTGAATTAGAGTGGCATGGCTCTGTTTGATGCAGGCATTAGCACGCAGTGTGAAGTGGCTGCTGCGAAAGAGGCTATGGAAGAAGAGCCCTGCCTCAAAAACCCTGCGGATGCTACCATTTTTTTTGGTTATGGCCATAGATGAAGTATGCTGAAGTTGTATGAAGTTGTGTGGTTTTGCCCTGAAAATGGATGTGTTGATTCTGAACGTGAGCAAGTTTATGGGTTTACCGGTGTCCAATGTTTGAGCCATAGTGTACGAGCAGGGTGTCCAAAGGTGTGTATCATTTGTATCCAACCCTGAAATCTGTAACAGTGTGTATACCAGTAGTACCGCACAAGGCGGTGGCGGAAGTTTCAAAAATAGGAATTTATAGGAGAGTTTGGTTGTTGTGAATCACGGATGGCAGAGCGAATCCACTGATGGACCGAAAGGTGGTTGGAGTTGTGTTTTTTGGAGTGGTTGCAATGGTTGCAGTGGTCACCTCACCACAACTGTTGGATGTAGTGTGGTGTAGCGCAGGTGTAGTTGTAGTTTTAGTGTAGTGGAGTTGTAGTTGTAAGTTGTAGTTCTAATGTGATGTAATTAGTGTAGTGTAGTTGCAGTTGAAGTTGCAGTTGTAGTTGTGGTCCGTGGTGTAATTAGTGGAGTATATTGTAGTGTATTGTAGTGTATTGTAGTGTATTGTAGTGTATTGTAGTGCGCTGCAGTGCGCTGTAGTGCGCTGTAGTGTTGTGTACTGTAGTGTGGTATAGTGTAGTGTACTCTAGTGTAGTGTAGTGTAGTGTAAAGTAGTGTAGTTGTAGCAGCGGTGTATTGTAATTAGTGCAGTGTAGCGTAGTGCAATGTTGTTGTAGTTGTGGTTGCAGTTGTAGATGTACGTAGTGTAATGCAATGTAATTAGTGTAGTGTTGTGTAGTGTTGTGTAATGTAGTGTCGTAGTTGTAGTTGCATGTATATTTGTGGCTGTAGCGTGCTGCAGGGTAATTAGTGTAGTGTAGTGTAAAGTAGTGTAAAGTAGTGCAAAGTAGTGTAGTTGTAGTAGTGGTGTATTGTAATTAGTGTAGTGTAGCGTAGTGCAATGTAGTTGTAGTTGTGGTTGCAGTTGTAGATGTACGTAGTGTAATGTAATGTAATTAGTGTAGTGTAGTGTAGTGTTGTGTAGTGTTGTGTAATGTAGTGTCGTAGTTGTAGTTGCATGTATATTTGTGGTTGTAGCGTGCTGCAGGGTAATTAGTGTAGTGCAGTGTAATGTAGTGTAGTTGTACTTGCAGTTGTAGATTTGGTGGTGGTGGTGTTGGTCGTGGTAGTACTAGTAGTACTAGTAGTACTAGTAGTACTAGTAGTACTAGTAGTACTAGTACTAGTAGTACTAGTAGTACTAGTAGTACTAGTAGTACTAGTAGTACTAGTAGTAGTAGTAGTAGTACTAGTAGTACTAGTAGTACTAGTAGTACTAGTAGTAGTAGTAGTACTAGTAGTACTAGTAGTACTAGTAGTACTAGTAGTACTAGTAGTACTAGTAGTACTAGTAGTACTAGTAGTAGTAGTAGTAGTAGTAGTAGTAGTAGTAATAGTAGTAGTGGTGGTAGTGGTAGTGGTAGTATTAGTATTAGTAGTAGTAGTTGTTGTTGTTGTAGCTGTAGTTGTAGTTGTAGTAGCTGTTGTAGTTGTAGTTGTAGTACCTGTTGTAGTTGTAGTTGTAGTTGTAGTTGTAGTTGTCTGTCTATCTACCCAATCTAATCTAATCTAATCTAATCTAATCTAATCTAATCTAATCTAATCTAATCTATCTATCTACCTATCTATCTTTCTATCTACCTATCTATCTGTCTATCTGCAAGCTTGAAAACGCAGCTATTTTGCGAGACGTCCTCGATTTTTGAACTTGACAACATCAAAAACGAAACAAGTCTGCGAGACTCCTTCAATTTTCGAACTTTAAAACATCAAAAACGAAACAATTCTGCGAGACGACATCTCAACTTCCAAAACTGGTCCGAACGTGAGGTGTTTTTAGCGTTTTCACTTGCAAATGTGCTTCGCGCCACAACGGCGTGCACTTTTTCGACATCTCAACTGCCAAAAGTGGTCCGGACCTGGTTTGTTTTGTACATTTTGACTTCGAAATGTGCTTCGCGCCACAACGGCGTGCAATTGTTCATCTCTCATCTGGCCAGCTGGCTCCGCACCCGCCGCTTTAGCGAGCCTACTTTTCGACCCTCTGGCGTCTGGAGACACAAATCATTGGAAAAACACAGTTTTTCGCGACTTTCCTACCTTTTCGCGCACCTGGATCTTCTTTCTTCTCAGACTTGCTCTTTTTCGATCTTCTTTCTTCTTCCCTTCTCTTCTCTGACTCTTCCCATCTCTGCTTTTCATCTGTCCATATTGTCGGAAGTTTGACTTCTAAACTTCCTTCGATAATACAATATAATATGATATAATACAGTATAAACTACTTTATGATTTAACAGAATACAATTTAATACAATATGCTATGATTTACTACAACATAGTATAATATAATATAATATGATATGATATCATTTTTTATTATCACATAAGATAATACGATATAATATGTAATATAGCGCAATGTAATATAATATAAAATATATTAAAATATAATACAAATATCATATACTATAACATAATATAATATAATATAACATAATATAATATAATAAAATATCATATAATATAACATAATAGAGTATAATATCATACAATATATGTGTATATTGATCAGTGTATTATATATACATACATGTACAGGCATCAATAAATATGAAACCATGACGATCCAAGGAAGCCTTGGGCACCAGTGGCTGGAGCCCCAATGTCGCCTGGTCACCATGGATTGGATGGGCCCAATTTATTGGAACCCCCAAGAAATCTAGGGGTAGAAACCCTGTAAAAACCATGATTTATATCTGATTTCCTGCAGATTTTCCAAAACCAAGCCCCTTTTTTCTGGTGACAATGGGCTCAAGTTGGTGGCAAACGCATGGAGAGAGTTGGGATGGGTCAACATTTGGGAAATTCTCACCTTGCAGGCCCCGCAAGTTGTGGAAGAAGTTCACGTGGGTCCAGAACGCGGAGCTGGCATGAGCTTCGTTCATGACGGCGGTGATTGCTGAAGTCGTTGTTGGAAGAACGCATTTTGAAAACAAGCGTTCCGAAGAAATGCTGCTGTTGTATATGCACATCGTACTACTTGCGTTTTAATCTACAGCAACAACAGCACAAGCAACCACAATTATTCAAACAGAACAATCAGTACAACAGATCCATGGATTCGTCATGTATATTGTTGTGACCTAAGATCTCCACATTAAGACGTGTTGTGCAGTCGACTTGCCAAAACAACTAAAACCCATTTATATAGTACTGTCATGTAATATCAATTTCCCGTGAAATTTTGCAGGCGGATACAGAATGATTTGGAACACTATCCAACACCCAAAGTCCAAAGTCAGTGACTCTTGGATACTCAGCAGGGGGGTTCCTAAATGCTGAGCCAGGCACTGCTTCCTTGGAGGTGCTGAAAGTCTTCAACCTGGTCTTGGGATCTGGAGCCGACTCTGAGGAGCAGTGCCCAAATGTGTCCAAAATGGTTGGTTTTTGGAGGGGAAACAAATACTTGGAGTATAGGTCTACATAACTATATAGTAAATATAGTAACCCCCAAAAAAATTAAAAAGTAAAATCCTACAAAGATAGTCACTAGACGACGGATGGCCCGAGAGCGTAGAGGAGCAGGGTCTTCTGTTGTTAGTATTGAGACACTATATTACAAGACAATATATTAAAGATGTATTTCAGGCAGACGAGAAGAGTAGTATCAAGACAATATATTACAAGTACAAGACAATAGTTTGCATCCTATCCTTCCTATAGTTTTTACACAGAACCTTTTACACACAGACGCTTTTGCACACAGAAGCTTTTACACGCTTTTACACGCAGACGCTTTTACACACAGACGCTTTTACACACAGAAGCTTTTACACAAAGACACTTTTACACGGAAGCTTTTACGCACAGACACTTTTCCACACATAGGCTTTTACACACAGACGCCTTTATACACAGAAGCGTTTACCCACAGACACGTTTACACACAGATGCTTTTACACAAAGACACGTTTACGCACAGAAACTTTTACACAAAGACACGTTTACACACAGAAACTTTATGAAACTTTTAGACACAGACACGTTTACACACTACCGCGGAGATTGTAAATTCGCAATTTTATTGCAGTTTTTGGCGATCGAACCTCATTTCGTGCGAAAGGGCTGCCGCGGCACACTCAAAATCGCAATTTTAGCCCAGTTTTTGGCGATCGAACCTCATTTCGTGCTAAAGGGTTGCCGCCGAGGTTGTAAAATCGCAATTTTACCCCAGTTTTTGGCGATCGAACCTCGTTTCGTGCGAAAGGGTTGCATTTCGTGCCGTCTTGTTGGCACTGCCCCGCGCCTTCAAGAGAGAAATAGAAAAGAAGGAGAAAGCAAGAGGGCAAGAGAGCAAGAGGGCAAGAGAGAATGTGAAGATGTGAAGATGTGAAGATGAGAAGATGAGAAGATGTGAAGATGAGAAGATGTGAAGATGAGAAGATGTGAAGATGTGAGGATGTGAGGGTGTGAAGATGTGAAGATGAGAAGATGTGAAGATGTGAGGATGTGAAGATGTGAGGATGTGAGGATGTGAAGATGTGAAGATGAGAAGCTGTGAAGATGAGAAGATGTGAAGATTTGAAGGTGTGAAGATGAGAAAGTGTGAAGATGTGAAGATGAAAAGATGTGAAGATGAGCAGATGCGAAGATGAGAAGGTGTTAAGTGAAGATGTGAAGATGTGAAAATGTTTGACAGACCCCCACTATTAGAAGAACCCTTCGCTCAGACGCTCTCGGGAAAAAATCCCGCTTCTATCCTTTTTGGGTTGACTACAACTCCATATAACTCTCCTTTTGTGTGACCCAAGTGACTTCGAGCACTCGATCGGGTCGCTCAAGTTTGAACATTTTGAACCACTGCCAGGAGTTCTGGGAGCAACAGCTGGTGGCTCACCCAGAAAATCCCCGTGTGTGCTGGGATATGATTCGATGGTTTGATGTTGTCTCAAAATCATATGGTTTGATGAGACCATTAGAGTATATTAGAGGAATGTTAATTCTAACGTATTATCATGTATTATCTAACTATCTACTATAAAATCCACATGGTTTGATGGGGAAATTACAGTATCAACATAAAAGCACGACTTTTGATAGGAACTTTGGAAAACACCGTTTTTGATGACTTCGAGAATTGGAGCCACTTGGATCCTCCCACTCCTGACTCCACAGAGGTGCCAGAAGCAAGTCGTCGCTTCAACTTCACAGTGAAGCAGCTTCAACGGCATCATGCACCGATGCTCAGCAAGGGAGCATGGTGACCGAATAGGGCAGGTCCAAAGGAACCGAAGAAACCCAATGCTTGAAGATTTAAGATTCACCACATGACGATCCTGGAGAATTTTTACAAGTGGAGAACAAACCACGCCTGTGATTTCTGGCATTTATGGTCCTCGGAAACAGTCCAACTCGATGTTTTGGATGTCGCAGGTGAAAGCCCACGCTCTCTTTCAAGCCATGGAGCATCATTGCCGGGTGGGGCAGCTCTTGATGGGGAAGAAACCACCTGGTTTGACACGGTAATTATAGCAGTATAACTATAGCATACTATAATCTTATAGCATCTTATAGCCTGTAATTGGGATACCTATCAACCAGGGGAATGGGAGAATGGGACGGAACAATTTTTTTGCGATGGCTCAGGCTGCTTTGAGACTGGAGTTCCCAAGAGTAATGCGATTATTCTGCGTGTCAACAAAGTATTTCATGTCGCTCAAGTTATTCCACATCATTGCAGGTTGTCTTCAGGGCGTTAATCCGTCTGTCTTCCCCAGCACTTGTCTTCTCGGGGCTCATGATGAACTGACCTCAATGACAGGTGAAATTTGAGTTGGATGCGGTGAAGCGACCCTTCTTCAAGCCGGGTTTTCCCAATCCTTTGAAAGAGGTCGGGACTGGGGCCCATGGAGATGAATGTAGTCATCCCCAAAAAGATAGAAAAGTGAATTGTCACTATTTTAACAGAGATGTTTGTTTTCCATTTTTTGGGGTGGTGACAAAATCCATGATACTTCTGACTCAGCGGCATGGAATGTACGGGAAAAGCCCAAAAAGCTGCTGCACGGATGCGCTTCAGGAGGATTTGGCATTGTTTTCTTCAAGTACGGTTCTGCCCTCAGCAAAACGTAGCGTTGCTGATGTTTTGAAGGTAGATACAGTGGACGGATGGATAGACAAACAAGTAATTAGATAATATTATATAGGTAGACAAAAATAGCTATAGATGATTTACATGTAATTTACCATGTTTTTTTTATTTTACTCAGTTGCCACATCTTCTTCCTGTTCTCCGAGTTACAGCACCACTTCCCGCACCTCACCGCGGTGAAGGCGGGGCACCGGCCCAGCTTCGGCCGCCATGGCGTGTGAAGCCCGGCAGGTCCACTGGAGCAGGCGCCTACAGCACTACGACGCGGTGGATGAAGAGACGCGGCAAATCAGAGACCACATGCTGAAGGACGGGCAGATGGGAGGAATATCTATAGTGATTTATATTGATTTATTAATCTTATATATTAAATATTTTATTATATATATATAATTATATACATACATATTTGAACCTTTTCATTTGAAATGCTTTGTTTGTGTGTCCATTGGCGGTTCGATTCACGGTTTCTTTGAAACTTTATTGCTCAAGAACTCCTCTCATGAACCGCGCCTTGATTCCTGTGGCGCCGGTAGCCATAGGATTTGGGGCTGGCAGTTGGTTGATCCGGCGTTGGATTTTTCGATCAGTGGTGGAGTCTTTTGAGCGAATTTGTGCCCCTAATTTTGCAGAACCGGATTGAGGGCCCATTATCATCAGAATTTTGCCTGGGTGTATTTCAATTGGGTGGTTTGTGGATAGCTTGGGAATTACGATTTGAGTTGGTGGAAGTTGCCCGTTGGATAGTGCGGGGTGTCACACTTTTGCTTCGGTGGATTTGTTGCATTGGTTACTATCTAGGGTATTCTTTCATCTCTCTGGCTACCTGGTGTCACAGACCTCAGCGAGTGAAAGCAGCTGTCATCACAGAACGGGGTGTGTGCCTTACCTGGATGGCAGCTCCTGGTGCTGGGGGCGCGGTGGTTCCTGTGCAGCAGCATCCGTTTCCGGTTGGGACCTTTTTGCTTGTGTCTAGGCCTCCTGTTTGGGACGAAGTTTGGATAGCAGGTTATTTGGGATCCAACACAGACATCTTGGTTAGAACTACATCGTCATCTGGGGCAGAATGGATCTGGGCGGTTGTGAAGTTAGTGGCAATGATGGTCAAAGCTCCCATTGTGCAGGCGGATGGGACCCGAAGAGCACCTCCGGGCGTAGTGGCTGGCAATGTGAACTGGGTGTACACGCCACCGGATTGTGCCAGCATTTGGGAGCCGGACGCTGTCGAGGTCATCAGTCTTTCTCAGGAGGCTGCTTTGATCCTATCTCAACTTGCTTCTTCTATGAATGGGGTCACCATCAACCATGGTGGGGTGGCTGGGGATTTGGTGCCTTTGGTCATCAATGCGCCGGCCATGGGCCCAGCCGGAGGAGCAGGTGGAGGTGGGGCCGTAGGGGCTGCAGGGCTGGGCATGCCGTCCAGCGGAAATTCCCCAACTCCAGCAGAGTTGTCAGCTTTGGAGAAGGCAGTTCAGCAGCTTCAAGCCATGGCAGTTTCAGAAGACAGAAAGAAAGACAAGAAAGAGCGCAAAGACAAGAAGTCCAAGAAGAAATCCCGAAAGAGCTCAAAGAAGAGAAGCAAGAAAAAGAAGAAGAAGAAGCGATCCCGATCCAGTTCCACATCGAGCAGTTCATCCAGCCCAAGGTCACGCAGTCGGAGCAACTCAAGTTCCTCAACATCCAGCAGTCGCAAGAAGCCTCTAGCCTGGAAGGAGAAAGGGAAGGATCACCGGGTCAATTACGACGATCTTTGCCATGTAGATCAACTTCGACTCAAGAAAAAGGGGGATCTTCTCAGTTTTGCTGCAAAGAATCCAGGGGCACTTACAGCCCATTTCCTTGCGGGGGTATATGCCCGACTGTCAAAGGGAACCCTGGCCAGGTCCAGCCAGCTTCGAGAAGCATCAGTGGCGGCCTGGGCACAGCAGCACACGGGGCTGACGGAACCCCGGGATTTGAAAGAAGTTTTGACATTGGCAGAGATTCTAGATCATGTGAACAGGCGAGAGGTGGCAAGAGCGCTCGACGTGCTGGTGCAGCGCATAGTGGCCATTCAGGCCGCAAAGGCCAAAGGAGGATCATGGGAAAAGGCAGAAGCTTTGGAGCTGGTGTCAACTACGAAGACCCTGGCTTCGAGTGCTATGCTGGCTCTCACCAACAGTTGAGAAAGCGAGTTTGGCGCGCCTGGCAATCTATGGGGGGAATGGCGTGTGAGGCTGAAGGTTTTGCATGTTTTTTCCTGCGTTTCATGAGGGCTTTGGAATCTGGCTATGCTGAATTTGGGATGGCTGGTTTTGGGAGCTTGGTACAGGACAGACTTAGATTGCTGGGTGATGTTTTTAGCATGCGTGAATTAGAGCGGCCTTTGAAGGAGGGGCGTGGGCATAGTGATCAGCAAGTGTTTCCAATTTCCCCGATGAGCATGAATGGCAAGTTCATCAAGCGTGGTTCTGGTGAGGACTTGGAGACTGACGTTCTCTATCATGGGGGCAATTTGCTGGTTAGTGTGCTGAATTGGATGCATGGAGGGCTGGGAGAGGCGAAACATGAGGTAGGTCTTCTTTCAGCAGCTCACAGGCGGATCCACGACAGAGTTTCGGGGGTCTTGCGGGCTATGGTGGTGACCGATGAGCCCATCCTGGCTCATGGGGGTTTGGATACATTTTTGCAGCAGACACAGCTTTACAGTGGATGTGGAGTTGTTTTGGCTTTGGGTGAAAGAGGAGGGGTTCCTGAAAAAGCGGCTGATGTTCCATTGGCGCAACACATGGACACCTTTGATCCAGGGTTGGCTGAGCAGATTCGCAATCCTCAAGTTCTGTTGCTGCCAGCTCGAAAGAGGCCCAAGCGTATCAAGAAGGGGTATGTTTGGGTCTCCTCTTCTTACCCTGAGCTTGTGAAGCGCAACGTCCAGGCTGGGCTTCAGCTCTGGAGAGCCATCTTTGGTTTATCCAGCAAGCAGAGCAGCTCCAATGGGGTTTGGTCCCTCAGCAGGGTGGGCTCAGGCCCTCACAGACCTAGTTGCGCAAGACGCTGATCTCCCTGAAGAACAGCGGCTCCATCCAGATAGGGTCACTCCTTCAACCTTACCAATTTGGGGTTCTATTATCGACGATATTTGGGCTTTAGATCATCTAGAAGAGGAGGGGCATACGTCTATTGGGCCACAATGGTTGGACAGGGCAGAGTCGGCTTGGGTGCAACGCGGTGTGGCCCCGAATGCCAAGAAGTCAGTCAATGCGGTTTTGGGTGATGAGATACAAGGGTATTTTGTTCATCCTCATGGACATTGGGTTGGGTTATCTTTGGAGAAGAGACGGTTATTTATTTCAAGCTTCAGTTCATGTCCTTTTGCAACGGTTGGTTCCATTCAAGGTCCTGGAGAGGTTGATAGGGAAGCATGGTTTCATGCATTCTGCACGGCCGTCTCTTAGGTCGGTTTTTGGTGAAACCTACCAGTGGTTGGACGAGCAACGTCGCTGCCAGGCACGGTTGGTTGAATTGCCAGCGGTGGTTTGGGAAGAACTTCTATTGTCAACACTTCTTATTCCCTATGCGCAGTTTGATTTATCAAGTCCCTGGAGCACGCGAGTCGAAGCCACGGACTCATCTATGACAGGCTTGGGTCGTGCCTTCACTGTGATGCCGGAGGAGGTTGTCAGGACCCTAGCCAGATACAGTGCAACCAAGGGCGTATATACCAATCTGAAGCTGCCATGGGGAGTTGGTTTAGATAAAGAAGGTAAGTGTCCATTTCACAAAGTTCAACTTCCAGTGCGGCGAGTTCGTTGGAAGAAAATTGGGGTTCCTTGGAATCCAACCCATGTTACCCTAGGTGAAGCTGACGCTGCAGTATGGGCTGCACACGACAGGCTTCGTCGACCTGGGGATGATGGTTGTAGGTTTGTTCACCCAATGGACAGTGCAGCTATGATTGGAGCTTTCACCAAGGGGCGCTCTTCGTCTCACAGCATCAATGAACGTTGCCGTGCTATGTGTTCCATCAATCTATGTGGGGGACATGAACCTTTTTATATTTGGACACCTTCAGCAGAAAACCCAGCTGATGATCCATCCCGTTGGTTTGAGCCACAGGAGAAGCTCGAAGCAGCACATGTGAGTGCAGACCCAGATTCCAGTGAGGGGCTCTGGGACTTGCGCTCACTTAATGCGTGGCCAGAGGGTGCTCAGTTCTTTTTACACCTTTGCAGTGGACCTCGCCGGGACGGGGACATTTTAGATTGTGTTGAGAGATTTGGGGCAGCACATGGCCATGCATTAGTAGGCATAGCAATTGATCCTTTGGCGGCTAGCGGACAATTTCAAGTGGAGGCTGCAACGCATTTTTCAGACTTGTTGGATTCCCAAACTGGTGAAATGTTGCTGAATTTGATTCATAGTGGTAGAGTGGTTGGTGCATTTGGTTCCCCTCCTTGTTCAACCATTTCAGCGGCTCGCCACATTCCTTTGGCAGAGGGCTATGGGCCTCGGCCGATCAGGGGCCGGGAAGCACCGTGGATTCCTTTACCTTACTGTTCTGAGAAAGAGATCCAAGCAGTGAGGTTGGGTTCTGCGTTGTATTTACTGGTTTTGGGAATTTTGGGCGAAGTTCGCATTTGGGGTGGCTGGACTGGTTTGGAACATCCAGCGGATAGAGGTGCACCATTTCCATCATTTTTTGCCACGCATGAAGTTCAGTCATTTTGCAAACAGTTTTCACTGCGATATTTTGTCACTCATCAATGCATGTTTGGAGCAGCAACTAAGAAACCAACTGGTCTTTTGTTGCCAGCTGATGGATTTGTGATGGTGCAGCGTTGCAGTCATTTACGCAAGCATCCGCAGCTGAAGGGCTTCGATGAATCAGGGGGGTTCAAGACAACTCCAGCTGTCAGATATCCAAGCGAGTTCTGTAGTGCATTGGCTAGATGTTTTATCAGAAGGTTGGATGTGGCTCTTAGCAGATCATATCGCATGCCCTATGCTCCCATGAAGCCTATAGATGCCATTCACTTTGATCCCTGGGGGTTGGGTAGGCATGTCGCTTGGCACTGGATTGAGCCGAGTCCAGGCTTTCTTGCTGAGCACGTTGCGGCCTTCAACAATTCAGAAATACACTCAAGCTTTGCAACACCTCAGCAATGAGTTGCAAAATGCTGACCTTGACTGGCGTCAGATGACTGAGGAAGAGCAGGACATGTTCTTATCTGAGTGGATTTTGGATGGTTATGAAAACGGGTCCAGTAAAAACGAATTTTCATGGGCACTCTCTGCATTGCAAAAAGTGAACCCAAGGCTGCGCATTAAGATAGCATGGAAAGTGCTTGATGCTTGGGGCTCTTTTGTGCCCACCAAGCAGGCGCCAGCAGCGCCGCCGGAGCTCTTGCAGTCTATGATTGTTCTTGCTTTGGTTGTTGGTAGGCCTGAGCTCAGTTTAGCCATGCTGTTGGCGTATGCTGGTTTGCTGCGAGTGAGAGAAGCCTTGACCCTACGGTGGTGTGACCTGGTAGTGTCATCCAATGCGGTTGTGTTGTGCCTTGGGCGAACCAAGACGGGGGTGGAACAGAAAGTTGTGCTTACAAATGCCACGGTGGTACAGTGGGTGCTGCATTTTCTATCCCGTTTCAAATGTACTCATGAACATGATCCTTTGTTTAATATTTCTTACTCATCTACGTTGCGCTGGGTTAAGAAATTAGCATCTCTACTTGGGGCTGCTGAGCTGAAACTCACCACACACACATTTCGGCGTTCTGGTGCATCAGAGCTAGCCCGACAAGGCATGGGCCTGGCGGATATTCTGTTGTATGGACGTTGGTCAAGTGAACGGGCAGCAAAAGACTATATCCGAAAGGGGGAGGTAGCTGTTTATAGAGCCAGAGGCATTTTGACTGATGAGACCTGGTCACGTTTACATCTTTGGTGCAATTTTACTTCTCATGCGTGGTCTATGCTGGATAGTGGGCGTGCAATTGATCTGGAACCTTTGCATCTTCATCTTCTTAACGAGAAGCGGTTGGCTGCTTTGGAGGAGGTTCTATTTGTAGGCAAGTAGCCTGCCACTTGACAGTGTATAGGAAGCGTGGGAAAGGGCCACTTTCCAGAGATGTTTGGTTAGTGGACCAAGCGCGCTGGGATGATGTTTGAATAATGGTTCATCATCAGCTGCTGGCATGGTACATACAGCTTCCCTTTTCTGGAGTCAAAATGTTTGACGCTGCTCTCGGCAGAGGCGGGATATTAGCACAGGGAGGACTCACAATTGAACCTTTTCATTTGAAATGCTTTGTTTGTGTGTCCATTGGCGGTTCGATTCACGGTTTCTTTGAAACTTTATTGCTCCCAAGCTGGCGCCCCACCCGCCCCAGGTGAATCACCGGGGGTTTTTTGGTCGGGAAAGGGCCACTTTCCAGAGATGTTTGGTTAGTGGACCAAGCGCGCTGGGATGATGTTTGAATAATGGTTCATCATCAGCTGCTGGCATGGTACATACAGCTTCCCTTTTCTGGAGTCAAAATGTTTGACGCTGCTCTCGGCAGAGGCGGGAGATTAGCACAGGGAGGACTCACAAATATATATATATATTTATTTATTTATCTGTATAATAATAAATAATATTATTATTAGATTATTGGCTTATATGTTGTTTAGATTATGTAGTCTAGATGTTTACACTCGATGTTTTCAGACAGGGGCATCATTTATCGGAAGCATCAGCTGCTACGTATCGCTACGTCGTCGATTTAGAACATCGCTTCATCGCCAGAAAATGCCCAGGGATGATCTTCTCGCCTAGGAGCCCAGCTTTCAGGGCTTTTGCCCGGAGCTGCGCATCATTTGTGCCCGAGGCGAAGAATGGTCGGCTGTGTCTTGGCGATGAAAAGTGACGTGAATTCGGGCGGTCTTGGTGGTATCACTGGTTGATGGTGCAATGGTTCATACAGGTTCAATATGGTTCAATTATGTTCATATACTTGCAGGATGATTTGATACCTCAGAAGGTTGAAATTACCAAACAAGATCAAACAAGTATGCAGAGGTCTTGCTGATTCTTCTGGGGCCATGGTACCCCCCTTCTATGGTCCAAGGCAGTGTCCGCACCCACCAAGCACACCCGAGAGAACCGATGGGATCGAGTGTTTCAGGCGCAGTTGTGTTTTTCCACCACAAAGTTGGTATAGTGATGTAACTGATGGGTAGATTGGATGAATCAATGGATGAATCAATGGATGAATCAATGGATCATGGTGAAATTGATGAAATCTCGCAGGTGCTTCAACTGCAGCTCACCCTCACACGAGCCATCGGAGATTCCTGTGGTGCGGTTGGCAGCATCTTGCAGGCTCTACCTCAAATCACGTGTGGGTTGCAGTATCCTTTTCCAATTTGGATCCATTTGAACTGGATTCAGTCTCACAATAGGGCAGTTGGATGGTGTTCTGATAAATATTCTCATGATTCAGATATTCCAGAATAATCATGAATAATCATGAATAATCAGGTTCCAGATGGGTCGACGCCAGCATCACAATTCCCATCAGAGACAAGTCCTCAGCGTTTCCAACAGTCTTGCCTATGTGGGTCAAGAATGGGTCAATGTTGTCTGGTCCCACAGAACCACCGCGGTCATCTTTGGTATTTGCTATCCAGTTGTGTATAATTACCCAATTTTGAGAAGGTAGAATCGACCTCTGTCAGCTTCCCCTGTTGGGGGTCAGGAGCCATGGAAAGTCACCCCTTTTGCTAATTGGATGACACATCGATCAGCGAAGATTGTCAGGAACACTGAGGATTCACGGTGCCGATGTTTCCTAGTGGTGTAACACAAAGCCGTCGCAGAAGGGCCACCCAGTTTGCAATGACCAGGGCATTGCAGTCGCACTACTCGAGATGGCCAAGCAGAAGGTGGCTCGCCTAAGCAACATCCAAAATCCAATTAATTCAATCTGTTCAAATGACAAAGTTCCAGATTTGTTCCCTTGTCCATGTCAAATTCTGTTGTCAAGACTGAACAAACAGGGGCAACCCAGACTTCGGCCCAAATTCTAATTTGTGATGAAATGTGGGGTTGTCTTCAAAACTTGGCACACCATGCCATCCTATGATTGTTTAGAAACTCATTTCCCTACTGAAATGACCGTAAATTATGGGAAAACCGCCGTCGCCCATATGGAAACCAACCCAGATTATACGGACTATGTCCCCAAGAAACATGCCTCAACTTGCAGTGATGGTTCCTGGTGTCAGTATATATATTGATAAAGAATGATAAAGAATTATCCATTATGATGCATTATGTGAAGTTTGTAGACGTGTGCATTGTCCACTATTGTTGTTATGAGTAACAGCAGTAGTGGTCATCGAAGTATCAATGACATATTATTGACATATTGTTGACTCTTATGAATGACTATTTTATGACTACTTTAACGTGTATCAGTACTTTTGCTGTTTGATCACTTTTGATCTCCTGGGGATGAGCGTGGCTCACGGCTCACAGGTGGAGAAACCCGAGACGGCCGACGAGATCGATGAAATCGCCACGGCTGGGTGGTGGCTTGGGGCAAAGATGGCAGCTATAGGCCAAAACCCAACGGCACCAAAATAGTTGTAGAGCCCAAAGACGCTCCTATAGATGATGAATCCCCAAAATTGGATGGGACATTGGATGAAAACCGGGTCTGGTGAATGCTTTTCCCAGCGCAAATTGCAAGTTCTCGTTGAATTTTGCGGGTTTGCCCGGCGCATTGGATATATAGTTTGGTATGTTTAGTGCCAAAGATTGGCATCCATGAAATCTCAGCTTCAACCCATGGGTGGGGGTGCCTCTCCAGACCTTGAATTGGTCATTCTGTCGTAGAGGATCCATGGTGCGGCTTCGAAGGGGCAGATGCCATCCAAGGGTCATACAGTTCCATGCGGAAAAAAAGTGATGCAGACATGCAAGCCTAGTTGATGATGTACAGATATGTACAGTGTACAGCCCGCGGGGGAACAATGAGTTCCTCTTGTGGGGGAGACATCCTGATACTGTATCCCTTTCCATCCGCACTAGTTTATGGATGTTTATGGGTCATAATCCCATAGCCTAATAATTGGTATGTCTTCCTTTTCACCAGGCCACCATGAGAGCACCAAGCCTACCGGACCCTGCCGCTTTTCACAGGCCATGCTCTCGAGTGGACCAAAGGCAGACAAGAAGTGCCTGGACCTTGTGGGCCAAGATGTCATCAGCTTGTGCTAATCAGCAGCCTGTCTTTGTGGGTCAAAAGTGAAGAAACATGAAGAAACAACATGCACAAATCTGGCTGGTCCAAAATGTTTCAGACATTTGAATTCTCCTCCTTGTTTTGATCAAATTTGAATAAGAGTGACTAATTATTTTTTCAGGTGGTGAAACGACCAACGAGATTCATCAGGACTTCAGGCATGCTTCACTCAACTAGACACTTGCACCATACCTGTTCATTACCTGTTCGAGGTTTAAAGAAGACGCTGTGGGCCGCAGATGCTGCAGCCAAGATGTTGCCCAGGTGCAGAGCAAGTGAATGTTTAGGTGATGAGTGTGGGTAGGGGTTCCAGTAATACCAGAACTACATTGGGTTTACTTGGGTTTTGGCGGTCAGAATCTCTGTTGAAATGTCTCAGGTGTAGGTTTTCTGTCCCCTGATGCTGCCGCCAGCACGATTTCCGCCTGGTGGGCGCATTTGGCTGCGATGGAAGCTGAATGGCTTTTGGATAAGAAGGTCGAGGTGGGCCATGCCTGGGGCCCGACAAAATGGGGTGGGATCTTCGGTTTTGACCCATACTGGCCCATACCCATAGTATCCCATAGTTATATCCCTATATCCCGTGAAAAAGGACAGCAAATACCAATTCCCATTCAGGCCCCAGAAATCCCCAGAAACTCCTCATTAAATCATGTTAAATCACCATCTATACCACATAATATGGTCCCCATATGGTCCCCATCTCCAAAATTCTGGGCCAGGCACATGCACGAGTGCAACGACTACAAGCAGACTGGGACAGGCGATCACGCGCGGAGACGTGGAATTTGCCATGGATTTTTGGTCCTGGAATCCCAAAGAACCAGAAATCGCCATGGATTTTTCCCACCATTGGGATCCATTAGGTATGTAGGGATTCTGATCCTTACCATAGGGCCCTAGGGAAACAATCATTATATTTATATAATTTCTTTGTGTTCGGGGTTCCAGGGTTGATTTGGATGATTTGGTTTTCGACGGTACCTGTTGATTTGGATGGTGAATTTTGATTTAGATGTTGGATGATCGATGGTTCGAACGCGTCTAAAGCACCATCAAAATCTCTGCGTGTGTGTGTGTGCTCTCGGGTGATGATTGATAAGAAGCTGTAGTGGTCCTGATGAGCACAAGGGCCGACAAGAGGCCAAAGCATTCACACGTCTTGTTTTCAGATCGGTCGGCCCATGTGTATCTTCATGTTTTGAAAAGCTGTTGTGTGGAAAGGAATCAGCCATGCACCTCTCCCAACATTGTTGGTTTGTAAGGCCTCTGGAAACACGGCAATGACCTGCAGACAACTGCCACAACTCCTGCTCCAACTGCTTCCTCCTACTATACTCCTACTTGCATGGCAATCATTCAATAGAAGAGATCCATTAAAGTCAGAGGCTATATATTATGATATCTCATGCTAAGTTTCATGTAGACAAATGTAGACTACATGTCATGTGGATGCGACGGTAGGGCCCTTGCGATTCTCACAGATGCCGCCCACAGGTTTTGTCCCGATCAACCTGTCCTTATGTTGCGCCTGGAGGGCACAGCGGCCCGCCTTTATGCCCAGCAGGCGGATGCCGGAAATCTCCCACTGGATCCTTTCAACTGGCCCCACAGGCATCCATATGCTTGGAATATCCGCCTTTGGCCAGGGAGATTGGGCTTCTGCAGCTATGCACACAGAGAGGCCCCATCGCGGAGTTGCACGGAAGGGCAAAATTGCCAAATGAATGAGTCGCATGATTTCTGGGTTGTCTATTGTCGTCTATGGTAGTCTTCAAGCTGGTTTTAGCATGTCAATGTGGCTGGCGGAAGCTTTCGGGAAAGGAAAATTCATGGATGCTTAGTGGCTTTGTCATCTGAGTGATCTTCGTGGAAGCTCTACTCGAGAATGCTTTTTTTCCCTAAACAGTGTGTCCACACTGAGGGGTTCTTACGGTGGGAGTAAAGGCCGATGCTTGATCAGGGTGCTCCAGCTGGTCTGCGGCCTTTTACCTGTAAATTTCCGTATAAAGTAGCTCTTGCAGTGAAATCTCAGTGCATTTCGACTGCGGCTCGCACAAAACGTGGGGTGCGGTCTTGGTCTGCGGCCTTTTAGCTGTAAATGTCCGCATAAAATGGTTCTTGTGACATCCCCATGTGCATTTCGACTGCGCAGGCTCGCACAAAACGTAGGGCGCGGTCTTGGGATCGGCCCTCCTCCTCAACATCATTATCCTCAACATCATCACCTTCCTCCTCCTCAACATCATCATTTTCCTCCCCTTTGACTGACATCACCATCCTCAACATCATTTTCCTCCACCTCATCTTCCGCAACATCATCATCCTCCACCTCATCTTCCGCGACATTATCATCCTTCTCATCATCCCCCTCAACACCATCATCCTCAACATCATCATCTTCCTCTCTCAGCATCATCATCCTCCACCTTATCATCCTCCACTTCGTCTTCGGCATTATCATCCTCATCCTAATCCTCCTCAACATCGTCATCCTCCACATCATCATCCTCCACATCACCCTCCACCTCATCATCCTCCACATCATCCTCCACATCATCCTCCTGCACCTCATCATCCTCAACATCATGAATTATCATCCCCATCCTCATCACAATCATCATATATCATCATCATCACCGTCATCATCATCACCACCACCATCATCATCATCATCATCACCACCACCATCATCATCATCATCACCATCATCCACCTTATCATACATTATCTTCCCACTCCCCCAGGTTGTTTGGGGTCTCTTGCCAGGATAATTTTCTCCAAAAACAGAGAGAAAACGTCTACAAAACCCATGCTGTGGAAGCGGAAAGTAAACTTGTATTCGCAGAAAGTCTGTGGAATTTTTGGCCGACTGGCTTAGTGGGGAAAAGGAAGCAAGAAGGAAACAATGGACTCAAAAGAGTCGCAAGTCAATATAGGACTCATTGGTGGAGATGCGCACATCGACATCACAGGCAAATCGGCCCAGAATCCGACAAGCAATTGGAGCAATGAAACTGTATTTGCAAAGCCAACTTTGGTGTGTGAGTTCAGCATGTCAGTTTACAATAACATACAATAACTATTTAGATATTGTATTATATATATATATTGTTTTATTATTTAGATTCTATCATATTGTTCCAAAGTCAGGACTCAATCGTTTGCTTGGCGGCTATTCACTTTCTCAGGTGCTGTGCCTTAGCTGAACGTGCCTTTGGCCGCACCCACAACGCAACGGTAGCATTGCGCGCACGTTTGGGAGACGTCGTGACCCTGGAGGGGGCAAAACATGGTGGTTGAGCGTGTTTGGGATGATCCATCAGAATAATGTTTAAAGGTTTAACGTGTGTCTCAACGATGCCGATCCACAAGGAAACATGGATTCCAAATATTTCTCAGTCAGCCAGTCTGGCAGATTGTTGGACCTGTCCAAGTCTGAGAAAGCCACATGCAGAATGAATATATTTTGTTGATTCTTTTTGGGGTGGTGGTTTTGCTAGTGCGTTGGATGTTTGAAAGACCTCCCCGCAGCTTTCAGTGTCAGTCCCCAATCCTTTGAATTATATATTTGATGAAGGTCAGCGCGCAAGTTTTTTTGGCCAGATTGAAATGACCAGCTGGCTGTGAAATGGGACAGTACCAGCAAGTTCCAGCGACGTTTATATAGATTGCAGGACATGAAATCCAAGACACAAAACTCCGCTGTTTGTAAAGGATGCATGAAACATTGCACACAAACAGTGGGCTGACGGGATTGCAGAAAATCATCCAGGCACAGTTTTTCCAGTGAGGCCTGGTCCAGAAGAGAAGATTGGGACAAAGCGATTGCTGTCTCGCGGGCATGTTTTGTTCACCACAGGTCACTACTCCCCAAATTCCACTGTACTGGTGATTTCATGTGATTTCTGTTGATGCCAAGTTGTCTTTTCATAGAATTTTCCACTGGAAGAGGAAATGCAATGTGGGACAAAAACGGCCTGATGAAATCTGCAATTTTTTCTAAAAGCCATACAGCGCTTGGGAGCCCGGCTATCGGATTTGGAGCCAGGCTTATCAAGAAGCATATTCGGTGGCGCAGGCTGCTATGTTGTTTCTGCAATGTCTTCAATTGTTGAGATCAACCTCTTCAAAGGGTACCACAAGAGTTTCTAAGCTGCTACATCAACCTGTTCTAATTTATAGTTTTGTAACGTTTTGTACCTGATTCCTTCGCCGGATGGTTTCCTTCTAGATTTCTTTTTGGGTAGTGTCAACAATCCCCTTCTTAGGGCTGCCCAAGTCTGACCCATCAACATTCGCGTAAATTCGACAAGCGGGTTGGTCACACTTCATGACCCCAACTCACGGATAGTTCTTGTTTTCCTGCAATGAACCCCTCTGGATCAATAGACATGTTGTAGCGAAAATCACAGGAAATCCCACGTGTCTTGCATTTTTTTGGCCTCAAACTCAGAGGTTTCCTGCAACTTTTCCCTTCCACCAGGACTTGACCTTGATCCCATCTTGGCATCAGGTCAGTAGCGATGAAAAGACCACGGGACGCTTGGCCTTTGAACTGGCTCAGGCGGGAGGACGTTGGGATCAAATATGGCTGGGAAATCACCCATGAAAATGGAGGTTTATAGCTGGAATATAGCTGGGAACATCATCATGATCAGTATCCAGCAAGCCATGGAGCTGATTACCGCAGGGTAATCCATCATTGATAAACCATCCAAGTTTGCGCTCAATTTACCAGAAATTGGTGGTGTAAGACAGAAAAGCCATCCCCAAATTTGAAGTTTACGATTAGATCTTCCTCATGAAGATCCTGGTAAATCATCTACAAACGATGGAAAATCGCCATGCGAGAATTGGACAGATCCTTTATGAATTGGGGATTCTTATGGACTTTCCGTTTGGTTGTTATTAGCAGACTTTACAGTACTCCAATTGTGAACTTCGTGTTGTTCAACGAAAATTTTGTGTTGCTCCATCCTCACTTGCGATTGGGACCCCAAATAAAAACGTTCAAACATGTCAAATCTGGTGAATTCCATAAGACTCCCCAGTTTTGTTTTGTTTTTTCAGGTTGCCTCGATGTAGAGCTTGAGATTTTCGAATTTGCCCGGCCCCACGGAGGTGCTACACTTCAAGGGCGATCTCACAGGTGCTAAAGGCTATGCTGAAGATGCGGTGAAGTTGTCAGTGTCCCAGCTGGCGGTTTTTGTTGGCAGGGGAAATCCATGGCTTTTCCATGGGTTTTCCAGAGAATTCAGACAAAATGGTGGAAAATCCCATGGATTTTCCCATGGCAGGGGAAACATCACGTGCAATGCGATGACAGAAGATAATATAGAATAATATAGAATTGTAAAATAGTGATGAACCCTAGCAAAAGTTGCCAAAAGGTGATGTTTGTAGAGGAAAATACTGAAAGGAACCATGCACAAGCTGATGGAATGGGCACCTCAGAAATGAATCAACAAATTAGGAGCAACTTGGCTTTTTCAGCATGGTCTTAGCGGACCATCGACGCCACTCCTGATCCCACCAGGTTGATACCTTTGGACGTGGGTCGGGGGGACCCAGGCCACATGAGGTGCCCTGAATTTTCCGTCCGAGGTCACCGAGGTCCAAGGATTGGTGACTTTGTTTGGGCACGAAACAATACCAAATATAAATGCAAAATATAAACATTTCCTTGAATTGGAGCTTTCAAGTATCCAGAATATAACTATGAACATTTTTTTTCCTATCTGTGATCCTGATGGACCACAGTGGCAACGCAATCTGGACCTCTTATCCGCGAATAGAGCCCCATGCTGCGATCACACGGTCTGCATCTCACGATTGATAAACCTCAGGTTCAACATGCTGGTTGCATTTCGTCAGCACATCGGTTGGACTGCACAAGCACAGCATTGACTTAGGATGTATGTTTGCACACATCCCCAAAATGAAACAAGTCAATGCCGTTTTCCCTTCGGCTGTCTGGCATTTCTCTCATCAGATTTCCATCGGAGGGAGTCAGTTTCCTCAACGACAATGAAACGACCAAATTCAACACATAAAACAAAAACCCAGGATCAACATTCAACTTAGTTAGGTATAGTTAGGGCATCACTCAGCATGTGCCTTGTGTCAACCCATCGCAAAACTGTGTTTGCTGCTTTCAGATCTCTTCGTGCTAAAAGCATGTCTATGGCTAAGCGCTTATCCTTTACAACTACACCCTCACCATGTGCATGATCGTAGATGGGCTTATTGTCCACCACTAGCATCATGGCCATCCGCTCTCGGATCACCTTGTCATTCTCTAGGACGTAGTCATGGTGCAGGATTTCAGCAAACAGAGAGCGAAGCCAATTGCCCCTGCCACTCATCTCGCAAGTGCCATAAGTTCCGCTCCCAAAGCTGATTGTGTTTTGCGCTCTATTTTCTAGGACTTCCATCTCAACGCAGACACCCTTGCCCACTGTCTTCAATCCTTTTGTCTGCCGGCAAAACAAAGTAGCCAGCTTGACTTCCTAAGGTCTAGGTTTTGCTCCAGCTAGCATCGGATGTCACCACAACCATAACATAGCATGTTCAAAGGGAATACTCTGGATTGTGGTGGTCGTATGGGCAAAATCCCGGATTCGAGCCACAAGTTTGTTTGCTTCGATCAAATCATTCACACATGCTTGGTTGATGCGCTGCTGAAGTAGCGCAGTGTGTGTGCCGCAATGTCCGGCCTGCTACTACCTACCATCTACTTTGCTGCACCAAGAACAGCTCTCAGCTGTTGTCTTTCTTTCCCACCCACTGGTTGATCCTTGTCTTTTCTGCGCTCTTTGCTGATCTGTATGGTTTTCACACGTTTCGCACAAGCATTCTGATGACAATGGAAAAATTGGAAAAGTCATCTTTTTGACCCCATTGTCTCCCAAAAAATCCGCTTGTTTGGTGATCCAGTGTTTGAAAGGAAACTTCTCACGCATAAGACGAACAACATGTTCCATGAAAACATCCGAACCTCCCAGAACCATGTTATCAACATGAAGGGCAAAAACACCATGAAGAGCCTGTTCATGAAAATAGTAGAAACAACAAGGATCCAGTTCACTTTGTTTCATTCCTAATTCCTAAGCCAACCAAAAAGGAAGTAAAACATTTCCACCATTGGAGGGGTGCATCCATAAGTCCATAAACACATTTGGTGATCTCAATAAGGTCGCCCTTGTCCAGTGGCAACTTGGCATACAGCTTCCCTCTCTCTCTCATAACGGTTGCCCTGAAGAAAAGCACCTTCAACATCAGCAATGTTCTAAATCCATCTTTTAGAACTGATAGCCTGTAAAACCACAGCCAACCCGTCGGCAGTCAAGGTAGGACTTCGTCTTTCCAGCGCATCAACATCAGAATCTTGAAAACCCTTGATCACCCATTGACATTTGATCTTTTCCGACACACTGCCGTCTGCTGCTGCCTTTCTTGTTTTCACAAATCGCGAGTCCATGATCCTACAAGTATCTAAGTTTTACAAAATTTCTTCAGCTTCAACCCCGCTGTACACTTTCACCGCGCCATGTTTCACCAGCTTGTTCCATTCCGTCAGCTTGCCTTCTTCAACCCTTTTCCGGTCAGCCGGAGAGCAGATGTCCTTTTCTTTGAGCTCTGAGTTGTTTCTTTCAGAGACTAAGAATGTCTCTACATGCTTTTCTCTCACGGCCTCTCTCTGCTTCCACTCTTCTAAGCTCCACTTTACAGCCAGAAACGCATCTTCCGCTGCATCATCGGGCACCGGGATCTCATGACTCTGCTGCTCTAGCTGTCGGCCTCCTCTCTCCGAGATCCAGCAGTTCCAATGATCTTCTCAAAGCTTCTGTGAATGCATTGGGATTGACAGCTTCATGCTGTCGATTTCGAGCTTCTCGTGCTGGTCCATATCCCAAGCTTGCAATTGCTAATATTTGCTACATTCTGGTTGATGGTGGGCATCTGACTTGCGGAACCTGTATAGGTGCAGCTTGCATCTCTCTGGTCAACGAAGGCATGCCACTCACCGGTTCTTTTGTAGAATTTTCGTTCACCTCACCTTCTTCTGACATGCGGTTTTCTCCATCTCCTTCTGGAACATCATCCTCAACCTCTTTGCACCGCTGGAGGGGTCTTGATTTCCTCCAATTCTATGCCGCTTGGGCGGTGCCTCACCCGATGAACCATTGTAGCCCTCTTCTCGAGGATTGCCTTTTTCAGAGAGATCGGTGAAAGTCTGTGCGCCTATCATGGCGTATTTTCCTTGTTTTGCCAAGGCTTCCACTGGAATGAACTTCAAGGCTGCCTCTTGTTCTGGTGACATTTCTCTCAGTTGTTCTGGTGCGCATCTGAGCACCTTGTTTCCATGCGCCATCACTCTAGCTGGCCCTTTTCAGAACCCACGGATGCACTTTTCACTAAATCTCCTGGATGCACTTTTCACTAAATGCCATGACTTCTCTGAAGTGCCCTAAGGGGCGGGGGACGTGCCGCGAACAGGCCGCCACTCCTACAAGTATTTCTTCTTCCAGAACCCACGGCGATCCTCTTCACGCACTGGTCTCCAGTAGTACCACCTCAAAGTAATCTTTCTCTCGCTTCCTGTGCTGCACGGCTCTCCTTACTTTCTCTCCTTCATCCAGCTCCACAAATGCCTTTCTGGCCGCCGGTCTCATGGCGCTTGCTCTCGCACATTCATCTCCAGCATGATACTGCCTCGTTCCTGGTGCATACGCAGCATCTTCCCCGGTGATTCCGGGAAACTTCAATTCACATCCAAAGACATGCTGCATAGGTGAATAGCCATGTTTCCTGGCCATGGCGCTTCCCGCTTGATTGACCTGATCAACCAGTTCATCAACTTCTTCTTTTGTTCGTGGCTGGCTCTCACTGAAGGCCTTCTCAAAGACCTGTTTCCAAGCTTCCACCTCTCTCGGCTATTCCGTTCTGGTAGGGGGCATAGGCTGCCGTTTTGTCGACCAGAGTTCCATCCCGATCGAAGCCTTCTTGCATTTCTCGATGAAACTCAGGGCCGCCATCAGTGAGTACACGTCGGGGTTTGCCAGCCCACCTGCGCCAATATTTTCGGTATGCTCTTCTGACCTCTGACGCCTTGGCACATGTCAAACGTCCAGAGGGGGGTACAAATCTGCATGCCCGAACCTTCGCAAACAATATTCAACATTTTCACTTTCTTTTGTTGACAAATAGGAAGATCAAACGTGTCTACGTTCAGCTGCTCATTGAACCCTTCACATGCTTATACTTCCCACCACTCTTCAGCTGCTTGGGACGAGTGGAACTGCAAGTGCTACATTCCAGCAATCGCCTCCTCACTATTCCTCACTGGCATTTGCAGGTTTCAGCATGTGAATAAACCGTTCACGTGATGGGCGTTCACATGACATCTTCGTATGTTGGCATGGAGGGCAGCCTGTTTAATGCTCTTGTCGTCCCCAAGTTCACCAACACAACAGTCATGCTCATGTTCATGTTTCCTAGAAACCTCTCTTGCCTCATGAACCTCATGAACATGTTGCTGCTTCTTTTCACTCCAAACCAATCTCACAAACTGTTCAACCAACTGTTTGGGGTAAACCTGTGCACGCGTCGACCGATTCGCCCACCGTCCCCCGACACGAACCAACCCTTCAATGCATTGATGCTCATGTTTTCCATTACACCTCCTATGCAGCATGTCCATGTTTCGAGTTGGTCATGATCAGGTAGTTGGCTTAAGGTACCTCTTTCTGTTCGGGGGTCACAGAGTCCAAACATGCACTGGTCAGTATGAACCACATGAACATTTTCCAATCCCGAACCCGTTGAACTGCTCCTTCCCACCAGCTGTCTACCCAACCTGGGTGTTCAAACACAAAAACACGACCGTTCTTTTGCTGTTCCTCACACAACTCCACCGCAAACTATGTAACTATGCGACCTTCAACAAGTTTTCTCTGTCTCTCCTTACCATCTTCTTTCCACTTACTGATTCTTTTCATTTGGGAAAAGGGACCACAAGGAGGACAACCAAAACCACTTGCCTCCTATGTTTGGAAATTTCCTCTCTGCACTTCTTCCGATGACTCTCCAATAAAAAGTTCCAACCATTCCCAATGTCATACGACCTCATACCTGTTACACCTTTTCGTTCCGCAATAGGCAACACACGTGGCATGGAAAACACTTCGCTGACATCACAACTGCCATGTTCCAACGAAACATGAAACAAGTCACATGTTTCAGGCGCTTCACACGTTTCAACGTTTCCATGATCATGCTGTTTCAACTCATTCACGCACACATTGATGTCATGAACATTTCTTTCCATCTGACGACGCGCAAGTTTGCTCATAGCACACGCATTTTCTTTCGCCTCGCCAGCAATGTCACAACCTGGCACCAGCCCGGAATCTTGTACATTGGTGAATTCATTCAAATCCACACTTAACCGAACATGATCATGTTCATCATGAACTTGGAGAGCGATGGAGAGCGTCTTGATGTCCATGTGGTGCAGATGCCCCATCATGTCTTGATCCTGAATCAGATGCATCGGGCAACTGCCTTCACCATCTCTGCCCACTTCTGCTGCAGCTCTGCCTGGCGTGCCGGGCCTGCGTTGATTCACCGGGCGCCTCTGGCCATTGCTGACATGACTCCAAGCCGTGCTCGGTGCTGAACTGATCACTGAGTACCCTCCTGCGGACATCATCACCATCTCCGTCAAGTTCCTTCCTGCCACGTCTCCTCCATCCATGCCATAGAACTGTTCGGTGGCTCCTGACCTTGTAGGAAGCGATCTCGATGAATTCGTTCCATCTTCATGGCATCTCTTTGGAAAATGTAGACCCGAAGCTTCTGCATCTCCATGGACGAATTGCTGTGGATGTGGGTCCTCACCCATTGGATATACGGCTTGTCGGTCTCGTAGTGCTGGGGAATAGTGGCATTCTTCCCCTTCTTGGCATACTTGCCCTCTGTCAGCACAGTGTTTCCGTGCACTTGGCAACGACTGCCATCCTCTGGGCGATCTGGGTCTGCATCGAGCTCCGAAGAGATCATCAAAGAAGGTGATGACAAGGCAGTGTTTGGCATTCTAGATTTTCTAGATGACAAATACATACCACAACCTCGTGATCTGCATCAAAACGCCTTGAAAGGATTCTTCTATGACTTGAGCATCAGGAATGGCGAGACCTACCGGCAGTTCATCACGCGGTATGACACCGCTGTGAGGAAGCTCAAGGAGCAAGGAGTAGACCTTCCATCTGTGGTGAAAGGTTTCATGTTGCTGCGGAAGTTGAAGTTGGACGCGAACCAGGAGAGTATGATACTGTCCTCTACACATGGCAAGATGGAGATCAAGGAAGTGATCGAGGAAGTCAGTCAGAGCCATTTTTCCGGAAGGAAAGGGGCTACTCGGAAGCAAGATGTCTTTGAAGCCTTGGGCCAGGGAGCGAGGTCAAGGAGACATCAGAGCAGCTAGATTATCTGGAGACCTTGGAGGGCGTCCTGGAGGTGATCGCAGATCCGCTGCAGAACGGCGGAGACGAAGAGGAGGCATTGGAGATGTTTGAGTCGCATGCGGCTGAGGTGCGAAGGAAACTACAAGAAAAAAGACAAGGACGTGGATTTCAGAACAACCGAGATAAGGCCAGCCAATGGAAGGTGTCCGGCACCGTGAGAGGGCGCCTAGATATGCCCAAGCAAAAGACCAAGTGCCACCTGTGCAAGCGCACAGGGCATTGGAAGCGTGAATGCCATGAAAGGCAAACAAGCGTGCTTCCAGCAGTCAGAGCAAGCCAAAGGAGAACGAGTCACACATGACTGAAGTCATGACCGCCGAGGTGGTGACCATTCAGGACAACCATGACAAGCATGAGCACGTGTGGCAGTTGTTCTCTGAGGCTGGCTCCAAGACAGTGAGCTGGAAGACCAAGGTGGATGTGCAGAAAGAAGGCTTTTCTGACACTCATGCGACTGGCAACCAACAGCGCTCTGTGAAGGACCATGGCCAACATGAAGAGATCGAGACTGCAGTGGCAACCGAGAAGAAGAAGGGCCCCATGCTGAAAGGCGAGACCGAGATTTTCCAGACATGCAGCCAAGGTGAAAAAGACGTACTGAGTGCTGGGGGCTTAGGTTTTTCGTCTGATCGGTTCGATGACATTTTGAGCCAAAATGGGGTCCCGGACACCGCGTGTCGACGCACACTCATTGGAGTATACACGTTGCGGAAGTTAGAGCAGCATCTTTTGAAATCTGGGAAGATCATTATGAAGTGTAATGAGAGCAACGAGTTTCGGTTTGGGAACAATGAAACTTTGATTTCAAAAGGAAGTGCTATCATCCCGGCTTGTGTGCAAGGTAGGAGAATGCTGATTAGAGCGGCGATTCTTCCCGATGGTGGCTGTCTGACATCCCTTTTGTTGTCCAAGGAGTTTTTGAGAGAACTCGGAGCTGAGATTGATTTGGGTCGTGAGGTTGTTTCTTTCCGTAAGTTGGGAGTCGAAGTGCAGCTTGGTGAGACTAGGAGAGGGCACTATGCGATTCCTATGTTTGAGTTTGGTGTTGATTGTTTTGAGAGTGAAGTTGGTAAGAAACAGAAAACAAAAACCTATGACATTGCGGCTCTTGAAGGGCGAGAGCAATCGCGCCTTGTTTGTAGCAGCCGTGAATCAGCAGTTCCTAGCCATGGGTGGTGTGATGAGCAAGGACCAGGAGCACGACTTGATGCGCATGATGGAGGATGTGAAGGTGACAAACCCAAAGGTGGCACGAGCGGACCTCACCCTTGATGAACTCCATCAATCTGGCACCAAATTTCGCAGAGGTCACCGTAGACAGTAGGCCCAGTAGGCCTGCAATCATCAGCTTTGCCCGGCGCTTCCACGCCCGGTAGCTACTTGGATCGCTGCCATCAAAGATCTCCAGCTTAGGACCCTCATCGCGTTCCGCTCCAGACGCCATGGCAACAGCCGATCGTGATCGGCTCCGATACCACTGTGATCCTGATGGACCACAGTGGCAACGCAATCTGGACCTCTTATCCGCGAATAGAGCCCCATGCTGCGATCACACGGTCTGCACCTCACGATTGATAAACCTCAGGTCCAACATGCTGATTGCATTTCGTCGGCACATCGGTTGGACTGCACAAGCACAGCATTGACTTAGGATGTAGGTTTTCACATATCCACAAATATCCAAGTGGTACTAAATATGTGGATGGTTTAAAACCAATAAAGGGCTACGCACCCTGCCGCCGACCCCAGAGAAGTCCATACCTATAAGATCAAATACTACTAAATTTACTAAAAAACTAAATTTAGTTTAAAATAGTGATTTAGTTATTTACTAGGCAACTAAATTTAGTAAAAATCCAACTAAATCAAAAACTAAATTTAGTTGGCAACTAAATTTAGTAGCATTACTAAATGTACTTTTAGTTGGGGAACTGCAATATGCAAACTGCAATATGCAAACTGCAAACTGCAATACAACACTGCAAACTGCAATATGCATAATGCAGTTTGCATAAAACATCAATAACCAACACTGCAAACTACATTATGCATAATGCACTTTTCAGTATGCCAACTAAATTTACTTTTCCAAAAAGGTTCGATTTACGTAAATTTTTCCAACTAAAATTTACTTACCTTAGTAAATTACTTGGAAAGTAAATTTAGTAGTATTTGATCTTATAGGTACTGTCAAGATTTGTCCTGGGGTGAGTCCGCAGTGGTCTTGCAGCTTGCTTTCTTCTTTCCTCTGCTTCTTTCGCTCTCTTGCCTCTTGCTTCTTGTTGTTGCTCGCTTCTTGCTTGTTCCTCCTGCCCCTGCGTTTGGAACTTCGAAACGCAGGTTTCAAATCCACCACAAAACGAGCAGCCAAGCCCCCAAATGATTTTCTGCACGCTTTGGACTCGGCATGCTGCTGGTGCCTTGGGAAATTCGCTTGTGGACCTTGGCAAAAAGTAACCCTTCGGAGGGCTAAAACAACATGGCAGTGAAGGATGAACGGGCTCCGTTTTGGGCAGTCTGTGGTACCTAGCGAAATTTTTTCTGGAACGTCGAGAAACAAGCTTCAAATCTACCAGCTACTGCATCAAAACGAGCAGCTTGCAAGCCCCCAACAGATTTTCTGCACGCTTTGGCTTCGGCCATTTCCTCCACGCTTTGGACTCGGCATGCTGTTGGCGCTAGCAACTTCCTTGGAAAGTCGCTTAGGGACCTTGGCCAAAAGCAACCCTTCGGAGTAAGCACCATGCAGTGAAGGACGCACGGGCTCCGCTTTGGGCGGTCTCGGTTTTGGGGTAGTCTCCATTTTGGGCGGTCTGTGCTGCCTAACTTCGTTTTCTGAACCGACAAGAAACTAGCTCCAAAAAGCAGCTCCCAGGCTTAAGAAACAACATCTCAGCTACGCCGACAACGCTTTGGACTCGGGTTGCTGCTGGTGCTGGCAACTTCCTTGGGAAACTCGCTTGGGGACCTTGGCAAAAGCAACCCTTTGGAGGGCTAAACCACCCTGGCAGTGAAGGACGGACGGGCTCTGTTTTGAGCGGTCTGTGGTATCTATGCTTTTCGAACCGACAAGAAACTAGTTCCTAAAAGCCAAAGCAGCTCCCACGCATCTCCGCCAAGCCCACACAGAAATCACAGTCAAGGATGAAGCACTCTCTTCTGTTGCCTGCTTGTTCTTGCTTGTTTCTTCTGCTTCTTTCTATTGCCTCTTGCTTCTGCTTGTTTGCTTTTGACCTTCGCTTCTGCTTTCGCTTGCCTCTTGCCTCTTCCTGGTTCTTACCCTTGCGCTTTCGTGCTCTTCCTGGTTCTTGCTCTTGCACCTGGCCTTCTTGCTCTTGCAGCTTGCTTTCTTCTTTCGTCTACTTCTTTCTCTCTCTTGCCTCTTGCTTCTTGTTGTTGCTCGCTTCTTGCTTGTTCCTCCTGCCATCTCCTGCCCCTGCGTTTCTTCTTCCATATCTTGCCCCTTTCTGCTTGCCCCTTGATGTTCTTCGCGACATTGAAACACCATGGCAGCGAGGGGCAGAGCCGGCTCTTCCCACTCGTCTCTTGCGGCCTCGCCTCTCGCTTCTTCCTCTTGCACCTGGCGTTCTTCTTATCTTCCTCTTGCTGCAGCTGGCTTTCTTCTTATCTTCTCCCTTGCCCCTTGCTGCTAGTAATTGATTCTCTGACAAGCTCCCCCGTGCCGTCGACAGGGGTTGGCGGATATGTGCATATTTTTTTTCTTGCTACTTGTGTCGTGTCCCCTCTTCTCTTACGCGCTCCCCCTGCTGTCGACTGGGGTCGGCGAATTACCAGCTATTTCGATGACCCATAGCCATATATGGAGGTTTCCAATCCATGTGGGTACCCCTGAAATCATCCATGTTTGCATATTTTCATTTTCCATTCGAAACATCTCTAAACCATCTATTTTGAGTGTACCACCATTTATTTTGGTACCCCCATGACTATGGAAAGCCCATTGAAACCCCTATTTATTCATCGTTTCTCTCCTACGAAGTGCTCAGGTCGTAGTGACGGCGATCTCAGTGGGACCTCCTTTGAAGCGTTGATGCTGCTCTCGCGAGTCAGTCAGACAGCAATAGCTTGGGGTGTAGGGTGTACAGATATTTAATATAATATGACAATATGATATAACATACTATCATTTAATTTTAATATAATATCATGTAATATAATATAATAACGGAATATAATATAATATAAGATAAGATAATATAATATCATATATAATATAATATAATATAATATAATATAATAGAAATATAATATAATATAATATAATAGAAAGATAATATAATATAATTTGATATATAATATAATATAATTTGATATATAATATAATATAATATATAAAATATCATATAATATAATACAATATATAATATATAATGTAACATAATATAATATATAACATAATATAATATATAATAAAATATATCATAAAATATGTCATATAATTTACTACCATATAATGTAATATAATATAACTTGATTTAATTTTTAACTTAATGTAATTTAATTTAACATAATATAATGTACTGTAATTTTAAGCAGTTTAACATACTATAATGTAAAACAATATTTTACTTAACATAATTTAATGTAATATAATATAGTGAAATGTAATATAATATTTTAAAATATAATACAATATGATTTGGTATATTTTCAAAAATATCATTTAATATATATTTTTTTTTAGCCTAAGCCACCTTTGCTGAACGCACGCGGCCGTTGGCCCTAGGTCCTGCTGTGTGAACAAGGTTCAAAACGAAACGGAAGAATCTATGGACAAGAGGAAAACTAAAAGGAAACTACCGCTGTACAATCATAGCTCTCACTTCAGGCTACGCTTTTTTTATCCAGAATCAGTAACAGGTCATCAAACTATCAAGTAGCATTGCAAGAAGGTTTGAAATGTAGAATTGTCACTTCACATGGAGAGGTTCACAAAGAGATGTTCAAATTGAGTGGTGGCATATGTGTAACTGTCATATACTGCCATGAGCTTTCCTCGCGAGATCCTAAATTAAAAAAATAAAAACAGCATTCACATAGAGTCACGTTCAAACAGAGCATGTTCAAACAGAGCACGTTCAAAAGGAGTGTGTTCACTGGCGGATTACCTTAGTCAGCAAAGAAAAACCGTTATTTTTGTTAATGTTGAAAAACGAGATGGTGATTTAATATTTAGTTTAAGATAATATCATTTAATCAAAGGAAGTTTAGGGGGAGAAACTTCCGTGTTACGGACTTTTAGAATGTCAGGGAAAGAGTTAGTCAAAGAAAGAGTTAGTCAGGGAAAGGTTAGTTAGGGAAAGAGTTCATCAGGGAAAGAGATAGTCAAAGAAAGAGTTAGTGAGGGAAAGAGCTAGTTAGGGAAAGAGTTCATCAGGGAAAGAGTTAGTCAAAGAAAGAGTTAGTGAGGGAAAGAGTTAGTTAGGGAAAGAGTTCATCAGGGAAAGAGTTAGTCAAAGAAAGAGTTAGTGAGGGAAAGAGTTAGTTAGGGACAGAGTTAATTGTAACTTTTAGATTGTCAGGGAAAGAGTTAGTCAAAGGGAGAGTTAGTGAGGGAAAGAGTTAGTTAGGAACAGAGTTAATTGTAACTTTTAGAATGTCAGGGAAAGAATTAGTCAAAAGAAGAGTTAGTGAGGGAAAGAGTGCCATTGTGATTTGCAACTGTAGGATCGTTCCCGCAATGTAAATGGGATTGCAAGTGGTGCTGGTGGATGAGTTGCCGATGGAATTCCATTGTGATTTGCAACTCTAGGATCGTTCCCATTGCAAATGGGATTGCAAGTGGTGCTGGTGGAGGAGTTGCCGATGGAGTTTTGAAGGAAGTCTCGCACGAAATGCGTTTGTGAGAGATAGCAGCAGATGCACGAAAGCCTATGTTTTTCCATACAAAGTCTGTCCCCGAACCTCGATGATCTACCTCTGCGGTGCGACGGTTGCGAGACGGTCTCGTGTGTGGTCGGATCATGCTCGGATCATGGTCGGATCGGTTCCGCATTGTAAATGGGGTTTCACCTGTGTTTCGTGCATGTGCGGTCGACAGAATTCCATTGTGATTTGTAACTGTAGGGTCGTTCCCGCAATGTAAATGGGATTGCAAGTGGTGCTGGTGGATGAGTTGCCGATGGAATTCCATTGTGATTTGCAACTCTAGGACCGTTCCCTCACTGTAAATGGGATTGCAAGTGGTGCTGGTGGATGAGTTGCCGATGGAATTCTATTGTGATTTGCAACTGTAGGATCGTTCCCGGAATGCAAATGGCATTGCAAGTGGTGCTGGTGGATCAGTTGCCGATGGAGTTTTGGAGGAAGTCTCGCACGAAATGCGTTTTTGAGAGATAGCAGATGCACGAAACCCTATGTTTTTCCATACAAAGTCCGTCCCCGAACCTCGATGATCTACCTCTGCGGTGCGACGGTTGCGAGACGGTCTCGTGTGTGGTCGGATCATGCTCGGATCATGGTCGGGTCATGGTCGGATCGGTTCCGCATTGTAAATGGGGTTTCAAGTGTTTTTCGTGCATGTGCGGTCGACAGAATTCCATTGTGATTTGCAACTCTAGGATCGTTCCCTCACTGTAAATGGGATTGCAAGTGTTGCTGGTGGATGAGTTGCCGATGGAATTCCATTGTGCTTTGCAACTGTAGGATCGTTCCCGCAGTGTCGGGTGGTTGCGTCAAGGTTGCTTTTTGCTGTGGCTGCATTGGTAATACTATTGTCTTTTGCAGCTGGACTTCGTAAATCGTATTGGAGTGGCTGCATGAAGGCTGCCACAGTGATTTGTCAGCAGATTTTCTCCATTTTGGCGCTAGTGAATTTCCTTCTAAAAATCCTTTTAAAAGTGCTTCAAAATCGTCTTTTTTTCGCTCTGGCGTCGAGATCCGGTTTTGGAGCTACAATTTCCGACGCCGTTGTGCGTAGTTCTATTGTGTTTTGCAACTCAGTCTCTGCAGATCGCATTGTAATGGCTGCGTCAAGGTTGCTTCGTGCTGTGGCTGCATGCGTAATACTATTGTCTTTTGCAGCTGGATCTCGTAAATCGTATTGGAGTGGCTGCATGAAGGCTGCGACAGTGATTTGTCAGCAGATTTTCTCCATTTTGGAGCTAGTGATTTTCCTTCTAAAAATCCTTTTAAAAAGTGCTTCAAAATCGTCTTTTTTTCGCTCTGGCGTCGAGATCCGGTTTTGGAGCTACAATTTCCGACGTCGTTGTGCGTAGTTCTGTTGTGTTTTGCAACTCAGTCTCTGCAGATCGCATTGTAATGGCTGTGTCAAGGCTGCTTCGTGAGATCCGGTTTTGGAGCTACAATTTCCGACGCCGTTGTGCGTAGTTCTATTGTGTTTTGCAACTCAGTCTCTGCAGATCGCATTGTAATGGCTGTGTCAAGGTTGCTTCGTGCTGTGGCTGCATTCGTAATACTATTGTCTTTTGCAGCTGGATCTCGTAAATCGTCTTGTCGTGGCTGCATGAAGGCTGCGAAATAAATTTGTTAGCAGATTTTCTCCATTTTGGCACTAGTGTTTTTTTGTTGCACGTAGGTTTAGAGCAGTGTGAAGTGTGGGGCGTAAAGAGTGCAGTGTGAAGTGTGAAGTGTGAAGGAAGCAGTGTGAAGTGTGGAGTGTGAAGTGTGGAGTGTGAAGTGTGAAGTGTGGAGTGTGAAGTTTAAGTTTGGAGTGCGAAGAGCGCAGTGTGAAGTGTGAAGTGTGAGGTTTGGAGTGTGAAGGAAGCAGTGAGAAGTGAGAAGTGTGGAGTGTGAAGTGTGAAGTGTGGAGTGTGAAGTTTGAAGTTTGGAGTGCGAAGAGTGTAGTGTGCAGTGTGAGGTGTGGAGTGTCGAGGGAAGGACACGGTCGGGACAGGTTGTCTTCGAACTATAGGTCATTTATGTTTGGGAAACTTCCGCCGCCGGCTTGCCCGGGTCTATGTTATAACTTAATATGATTTGATTTACTCTGACCTAAAAGTAGATGGCTCAGAATCTTGAGTTGCGCCATCTATGTCCAAAAAAAATGGTGGATAGATGGCTCAACTCCCTTTAAAACAGGGCAGTTGAGCCATCTATGTCCCTAAAAAGGACATATTTTTTGCAATCTTCTGCGCTGGTTTCTCCCCATTTTTTTTCTCAACATCAAGCTGCTATTTTGGGACACAGATGGCGCAACTCCCGGGGTTGCGCCATCTATGTGGGCATTCCCAGCCTGATTTTGGCGAAATGACGGAAGTTGTTTTGAGCCAGCAAAGGTCGAGACGCTTTAAAACCCAATTTTAACAAGTGACCTGAGGAACCGTTTTTGCCGTCAAGAAACGGTTCCTCAGGTCACTTGTTAAAATTTGGTTTTAAAGCGTCTCGACCTTTGCTGGCAAAATGACGGAAGTTGCGCCATCGATGTCCCAAAAAGGGACAACTCTGATGTCTTTCCTGGTGGTTTTGCCTCCTGTCTTGGGATAACTCTGATGTCTTTCCTGGTGGTTTTGCCTCCTGTCTTGGGAGAACTCTGATCGATGTGGCATATTCTGGTTATGTTGGTTGATGGATGTCGGGAGATATGAGGGAGTTGCGCCATCTATGTGGGCATTTGCAGCCTGATTTTGGCGAATGAGTGGGAGTTGCGCCATCTATGTCCCAAAAAGGCAGCTTGACGTTGAGAAAAAATTATGGGGAGAAACCAGCGCAGTGCCAATTTTCCACTTGGGTTCGCCCCGGAAAACGGACCCCACCAAGTGTCAAGTTTCCTTTGGGAAACTCAGGAAAAAGCTCTTTTTCGGGGGACTTGGTGGGGTCCGTTTTCCGGGGCCAAGCAAAGTGGCAAATTGCCAGAGCGCAGAAGATTGCAAAAAATAGGTCATTTTTAGGGACATAGATGGCGCAACTCCCACTCATTCGCCAAAATCAGGCTGCAAACGCCCACATAGATGGCGCAACTCCCTCATATCTCCCGACATCCATCAACCAACTTAACCAAGATATGCCAGATCGATGCCGCATCTCCTTTCCTGAAGCAGAAATATGCCCCCAAAATCGTGCCTGTTTCCAAACAATTCCAAACCACATAGATGGAGCAAGTTCTATCATTTCTATCCATAAAATTCTGTCCACAATCAGTTTTAAAACATTCAGTGGTTCATTTTCAAGGTATTGCAATGAATTTGTTCGAAGATTTGACTGCGATTTAAGGGACATAGATGGCGCAACTCATTTTTGAACCCATCGAAAAATAATTTTCTGGCGTTTGAATGGGATTTAAGGGACATAGATGGCGCAACTCATTTTCAAGGTATGGCAATGAATTTTTAAAAGTGTTTTTCCAATGTATGTTTGTCAAAATATGTTGAACAATGAAATTTGTATCCATCAATTCTGTCCACAATCAATTTTAAAACCTTCAGTGGTTCATTTTTAAGGCGTGGCACTGAAATTTTGAAAGATTTGAATGCGATTTAAGGGACGTAGATGGCGCAATTCATTTTTGAATTCACCGAAAGAATGATTCTGGCGTTTGAATGGGATTTAAGGGACATAGATGGCGCAACTCATTTTATACAATACAAATTTGTGCAATTTCACCGTATATACAAGAAAAAATGATAGGAAATGTAGTAAACTTAGTTAACAATACCCTTATGTCCATCTACTGGAGTGGCAGTTGCGCCATCTACCTTTTCATTTTAAAGTGTTTATTTAGCATAATTTAATTTAACATAATATAATTTAATATAATATAATATAATGTAATTTAATTTAATTTAATATATATAATTTAATTTAATATTTCATTTCATTTAAAATATTTTAATATAGTACAACTTAATGTGATTTGATATAACATAACATGATATATAGACGTTTGTCACATGTATACTATATATTTGTTTTTTATGTACATATATACATACGCATATTATACGCATATTATTTATGGTTATTTAAATATTTTTTATTTACATATATATATATATGTGTGTGTGTGTGATCGGACATGCCCATCAAGAGTTCGAGCTAAGTCAGTTTCGATTTTGCCTCCTGAACGTCAGATGAATTGGGGTTAAAAACTATTGTTTTTCTTTGGTCGTCAGCATTAGCGCCGATCCATTGATTTACCAATAATGTTTGCTCCACTGCCATCAGGCTTAATCCAAATTGAAGGTTTTCTCAAGTTTCCAGTCAGATCACACAGGTTGGTTTCCATCGGTTGGCCGAGGTTTACGAGGACCTCTGTGTACGTTTCCTGGAGCTTCATGAGACCGAGCAGGCAGCCCACCTGTAAGTTGAATAGCGCTGAGTTCCTCCGAAGCATGGTGAATTTCAGATCAAAGCCCACATCACCCACATCGCAGATTGAACACAGGCAGCCGTTAGCCCTGCGCAGCTTCAGGTGCGCAGCCGTATCGAAGGTTCCAGTGTCTGTCGGCTAAATGTAGAAACATTGGTGGTCAAGCTGGAGCCAAAGGTCGAGTGAGGGAACATTGTGAGAATAAATTATGGTTGGCAGTTTCAAGTTTGTGTTGTTCTCTATACTCCGGATAAGCCCAATTGATTTTCATAGTTTTGGGATGGGTTAGAAGCACCTATCAGCGTGGAATTCACAGAAAAACTTGAAAACTTCACGCCCTTCACGGCATCACAAGCCATGCTGCAGCCTTCAAATTTCAAGTGACTCAAAGTTCGCTCGACTCGAACGAGACAATCACTCAGCTGACTCAGAGCTGCTCGCCCATGCCACGCTTCGTCTACAATAAGACGTTCATTGATGAAGCTCCGGTACTGGCAGTGCCAGGTATCAAGCGAGCACAAAGCGCTCCACCTGTAATGATTCTTGGGCTCTGGATCTATGGTGTTGCTTGTTGATGTTCCACTGTGTATTGTCCGTGTGGTTCTTCAATGGCAACTTGCTTTCTTCAGTACTGCCAGCCTGCCAGGAAGGAGTCAGCAGATGCCAAAACTCTTCACTCTTTCCAGTATGAAGACAGAGCAATGCAGCTCCAGGCCCCCCATGGCTGGGCCCCCATGAAATCCCATGAGTACATCCAATGCTAAGCCACGGTTTCGTTTGGGGCCTCTTCATGCCTGATTAATTTGAGGACGGGTTTAAAGTACAAACTCAAAGCTGGCCTGGCGTGGCTTTCTCTGAAGCTTCCAAGGGTGATTCAAATGTCTTTTTCGAAGTGTTTCAGGCTTCACAACATGGATGGTCGGCCCGCAGGTCTCGAAGTTGCAGGAGAGGTCGCAGCTCCTCTCAGGCGGGGATTCTGATCACAGCATCCGCAATTTTGAGGACCGGGTGCCCGGTTTTTGCGTTTGGGTTTATTGGGGAAAGGGTGGCGTAAGAGAAAGGCATTGGAACTCCGGGCTAAATTCTGATAAATATGCGTATATTTAATTATATGTGAAAGGGATGTAGGCCACAGGTGGGCTGGGTACTACCCATTACAGTCTGCACGTGCGTTGCCCGCCTGGACTGCCAATACTTTGGCTCAAGTTGCCTACGTGGATGGAAAACAGCTGCGCGCTGCACTGAATGACCATTGGCATTTGCTAGTGGAATCATCGCAGACTTCACATTGACTGATTGTAACTACACCCGGAACAAGGGTAAAATTGTTCACATCATATATACAGATATACATATACATACAGACATTAAAAATATATATATATGTAAAAAATACACTGCAGCCTGTTGATCTCTCTGTTGCAGTGTCAGCTGTTGCTGTTTACGCTCACGTTTGTCTGTTGGCACAGGATAGGCTCAAGGCCTATGTTGATCCAAGATGTTGGACGGAATGTACAACTGCACAAATGTGTGTTGGGAAGTGTTGGTATTAACACCGCCCCTCAGATTGATGCTGTCTCAACATCACTCCTGTTGAATCTTTACCACTAACACGTTGACTGTAACAATATTATCTTGTCTACGCCGTTGGGAATTCCAATCTGCACACTTTACATCACAAAAGTGTTGACAGAAGAATATTGTCTAGGTGTGTTGGTACTGTTGGTATACAAGCTATCTGTCGGCACTCTTAGTTGTTGGTGTCCCTGTTGCACTCATCAGCATCTGACTGTTGGTTTGGGTGTTTAACCCGGGATGTTAGCAGTCATCATCCCATGTTGGCTGGTTCAGCCTTCCATGCAGTCCTCGCCGTCATCCATGTTCTGACCATGTTGGCCATTGCGCCAGGTGTTGATCTCATTGACGTAGGTCAATCGTGGTGTTGTAGGACCATACAATGCAACTTCGTTGGTCCAAGCCAGGTCGTTGAAGATCTGGTCAAAATTGTCATGTTGCAGCTTCCACTATTGCTGCTATTCGAGCTCTGCTGCATCGAGCTCCCAAACATTGCTGGCCTCAAGCTGCACTTGAATTGTTCGTGCAGCCCTGTTGAACAAGTTGAGCTCCTTGTTGGCCAATAAGGCCAACAGTCGATGCATGTTGACTTCCCAGCAGACCATAATGAGCTCACCTGTTGACGAAGTCAAAACATGTTGTTCAGACTGGTGATACAGCATGGCGAAGGTGGATCTTGTTGGGCTCAATGTTGTGGTCACCTTGTCAAATCTTGGCATCATGTCGTTTCCATAAAAAAAAAAAGAAGGAATTGTTGGCTCTCCGCGCTGTTGTCAGCAAAATGTTGACATCCACACGCAAGTTGAATTCAAAAAAGCTTCACATGTTGTCCCAAGCGTCCTCAATCATGTTGGCCTATCATGTTGAAGCGGGATGTGACAGAGAAAGAGTATGATGGTGGTATACTCCATGTTGAAGTATCGTAGATCACTATGATATGCTTCGTGTTGTCGAACTTTGCTGACACCATGGCTCAAAAGGATGTATGTTTGTGCGTACACGCCCCGCACGATGTTCGCACGTTGTGCTCACGTTCGCACGTTAACGCGCCGGCTGCGGTGAAACTGTTGTTCTGCTGCTGCTTGGTTGCTCAATAATGATGTGTGTTGATCCCAACATCACCGATGTGACGCAAAAGCGTCTCTGTTTCAACGTATTTGGTGAAGACGTTTGCCAGATTGTTGGTGGTGCTGATCATGGTTATCCTCACAAGATCGTGTGCGACCAGCTGTTGTATGAACAAGTGTTTGAGATGTGCTTCGCCTTCTTTGACGACCCAATTGCCATGCTCTTTCCACTTGAGGAATCTGTGTGGACGCGGATGTTGATCTTCTTCATGTTGAGAGCTTCTTTCAGGAAGTTGCTGATGTGTAGTGACTGCTTCTGTTGCCCCAGTGTTGATTCGTAGAGTTCTGCCTCTGCGCTGCTCAGCGCAATTGTTGCTTGTGTTCTGCTGCCGTAGTGGATTGTTGCTCCAAAGGCTTTGATCAGGAACCCTGTCGTTGACTTCCTTGTCGTTGGGTCCCATCCTGCCCAGTCGCTGTCAACGAATACCTGAATGTCAGGCCAGGTGTTGCTTCTGTTGTTGGTGTCTTGGTTGTTGGTCTCACGTGCTGCTTGTAGTGTTGTGTTCCTTTGATGCACCTCGGTAGGTGCTTCAGCTCTTGTTGGTCTTTGTTGGCTGTGTCAGTGCTCTTGCAAGCTCCTTTGTTGCAAAGCCAGTGTCTGGCCTTGTGTATGTCATCCACAGTAATTTGCCAAGCATCCTTCGGTAGGCTGCATGCTCTTCTTTGTTAAGTTATTGTTCCATCTCTCAAGTTGCTGTCAGAGTGTTGTTTCCTGGTGCTGGTGCTGGGTTGCGATTGCTCATGCCTGCTTCTTCCAAAAGTTCTGTTGTGTAGCTGTGTGCAAGGCTGATCTCGTAGTAATCACCTGTGTTGCAAATGTTTCTGCCCAAGAAGCTGATGGTATTATGGTATTGCCAACTGTGAGGTCTCCTGTTGGTCGTAGGAGAACGTGTTGCTGGATGCTCTTGAAAAGCTTTGTGACTGTTTCCTGTTGACCTATGAACAGGCGGTCATCCACGTAGCATTGGATGTATGCATCTCCTTCTACTGTTGTGTAGACGTTGGGCTCCCTTACGAGTTGTCGTAAGCCAAGTTGTTGCATCACCTCTGCTACAATCAGAAAGTGGGCAAAGAAAAAATATTGAATCGGAAGGGCAGGGAGGAAAAGAAAAGCGGAAGTGAAAGGTTCCGATTTGGAAAGGGTTGTTTTGACACTTGCGTTCACACTGGGGGAAAACCCAGAAGGCATGACCTAGGCATGACTTCGTGATGTTGCGTTCACAAGTGGGGAAAGCAAAAGGAGTGACTTAGGCATGACATTGTCGGGTCCGTGTAGGTGGTTTTGCCATGCTTTTGGACTGCTTCTCAGTCCGTAGATTGCTTTGTTGAGCTTTCATACTATCTGTTCAAAGGCGTTGTAGAACTCTGCTGGTGGGTACATGTAGGGATTTGCTGCCGCCGCTGCTTCATGTAGGAAGGTTGTTAGACAAATCCAGCTGTTGCACAGTGCTGAGACAAGCAGCGTTCGAAGGACACAAAAGATCGGTGTTGAAGCAAAAATGTCGTCGTTGTCGTTGATCTCTTCGGTGTATCCTTTGGCAACTATCCTTTCTCTGACTGTGTTGCCTTTTTCTGCCTGAGAACCCATCTTGACTTGTTGATCTTCCTGCGTTGTTCTGGTGTTAGTTGGCTGATGGGAACCGCGAACCTCTGTGTAAACTCCTTGTTCCTTCATTGACTTGATCTCTTCTTTCATTCCTTATACTTATACTGTTTGCTCTTTGTCAAGGCCTTCTGTGTTGGCGCACAGGGCTCAAGGAGAACCTTCTCTGTTTTGATCTCCTGTTCGTCCTCGTTGGACAGTGCTTCTATCTTCTGTCCTTTCTTTGCGTCAGTTTCACTGCTGATATCCTCATCCTCGTTGTTTGTGGCTCCTGGGCTGTGTCAGGTCTTGCTTGCTGCTGTTACTCTCTCCTCTGTTCTTGCTTGCTTTGGCGAGCTTCCACGTGCTATGTCATCTGAAACTTCGCTCTTGCCAGGTATTGGCATCGGACGTGGTGCTCTTGCTTGCTGTGTTGATGGTGCTGTCGCCATTGGCAAGTCTGTGAGTGCTGGCGTCGTTGTTGATTGTTGCCCGATGGCTGCTGGCTGCTGTGGTGTCTGTGTCTCTGTGCTTGTTGTTGCTTATTGCTTCTTCCTTGCCGGTTGTGGCATCACCCCAATGCTTGGTGCTGCTGTTGTTGTCATCTTGGCTGGTGGGGCATTGATGACATCCATCATTTGTTTGTTGTAGTTGTCTGGCTTGATCTGTCTTCTGATGGTCCTTGCTTTGACCACCTTGTTGCTGATGCCAAGGATGTTCTGATTGGTTGAGGTGTCCTTACCTGGCCAGAACCTTGCTTCCATCTTTGTCATATGCTTTGCTGTTGGTAGCATGTAAAGAACGGTTTCACCAAATTC